AGCTATGCTACCCGGAGGCAGACCCGGGGCCAGAAAGAGAACGGACTCTCTGAGACAGTTTCCAAGGACTCCCGCCCCCCAGATCTTGGACCCCCACATATTCCTGTTCCTCCCTCAATCCCTATAGGTGGCTGTAATCCACCTTCCTCTGAAGAGACACCCAAGAACAAGGTGGCCTCATGGTTGAGCTGCAATAGTGTCAGTGAAGGTGGTTTTGCTGACTCTGATAGCCATTCATCCTTCAAGACCAATGAAGGTGGGGACGGCCGGGCTGGGGGAAGCCGAATGGAGGCTGAGAAGGCCTCCACCTCAGGACTGGGCATCAAGGATGAGGGCGACATCAAGCAGGCCAAGAAAGAGGTAAGCAGGGGCAGAAAACTTTTGAGAGCACTGGCTTTTAGCTCTGGTGCAGTAACAATGCAATCTCACCATGAGTCTTTGCATGTAGATTATTCTACTTGATGGATATTTCTGTGGCCGCCTCATTATCTCTCCCGCTAACTAGCACATTCCTAATGTTTGTTTAAAGAACCAAATTATTGGGTAGGCACAGTGGCTCACACCTGTTATCCCAGCACTTTGGGAGGCTGAGGCTAGTGGATCACTTGAGGTCAGGAGTTTGAGACCAGCCTGGTCAACATGGTGAAACCCTGTCTCTACTAAAAATACAAAATTAGCCAGGCGTGGTGGCACGTGTGTGTAATCCCAGCTACTTGGGAGGCCAAGGCAGAAGAATCGCTTGAACCTGGGGAGGGCGGAGATTGCAGTAAGGTGAGATCACACCATTACACTCCAGCCTGGGCGACAGAACGAGACCCTGTCTCAAAAAAAGAAAAGTTATTTTAAATCCACTTGCCTGGTGGTAGAGCATGGATGAGTATCTGATTAATTCCAAAATGAAGGATTTGTAAGTGATTTTTTTAAATGTTAAATACTGTTTCAAGTTATTCACATCACTGTTTGCTTCTGCTAAAGCAGAGAAACAAGAATTGATTTTAAGTTCCTTTTTGATGATGATGTTGCTTTCCATGTTACAGATGGGAAACTGTCCCTGGTTGGTGTAGTCTTGCTCATGGTGTTTTCTGTGAGCATTAAGCCCCATCACTGGAAAGGCTTAAAGGCTCCAGCCAGGGAGTGTAGTGCGGATTGCTGTCAAGTTGCAGAGTGGTTTACCTGCCCCACTTTACCTGTCACTGGCTGATGTTATCATTGGTAGTCATTTGAAGTCTAGTTATTGGTTTTGCTCTCTTAGGCTGTGAAAGCATTTAACCCTTCACTTGTTCTTTTCCAGGACCCTGACGACCGAAACAAGATGTCAGTGTAAGTGCTTTTTTTTTTTTTTTTTTTTTTTGAGACAGAGTCTTGCTTTGTTACCCAGGCTGGAATGCAGTGGTGCAATCTCAGCTCACTGCAGCCTCCCTCTCCCAGGCTCAAGAGATCGCCCACCTCCACCTCCCGAGTAGCTAGGACTACAGGCATATAATTACCAGGCCTGGCTAGTTTTTATGTTTTTTTTTTGTTTTTTTTTTTTTGTAGAGACTGGGTTTCACCATGTTTCCCAGACTGGTCTCGAACCCCTGGGCTCAAGCAATGCTCCCAAAGGGGATCCTCAGCCTCCCAAAGTGCTGGGGTTACAGGCATGAGCCACCATGCCCAGCCCAGTGCCTGGCTTTCTGACCTGTCTCCAAATCTGCCTTCTCTCAAACCTAGTTTAGAAGCCTAAGAAACAGCCAGTAACCTGTTGGCCTCTCATTCCTTCCCCTCCCATCAGAGTTACTGAAAGCTCTCGAAATTATGGTTACAATCCTTCTCCCGTGAAACCTGAAGGACTTCGCCGCCCACCTAGTAAGACTAGTATGCATCAAAGCCGACGACTCCTGGCTTCTGCTCAGTCCAACCCTGATGTGAGTGACCTTCTGAAGCTTAGTCTAATAAAGGAACATGGGGCATTCTCACCTCATCAAGTCCTTCACTATAATTACTGTTAGGTCTTCTGCTTCTTTAGCCTTGACTTCCTGCCTTACTTCCTTTCATCCAGCATCTAATCTTCCTCTTGCCACTGCCCCTTCCTGCTAAAACATGGGTAACAGCAAAGACTTGAAGGGGTCCTTCCCATTTACTTCTCTTCCTGCTTCTTACCCTCCTGCTTCCCCAGGATGTCCTGACACTGTCCAGCAGCACAGAAAGTGAGGGGGAAAGTGGGACCAGCCGAAAGCCCACTGCTGGTCAGACTTCAGCTACGGCGGTTGACAGTGATGATATCCAGACCATCTCCTCTGGCTCTGAAGGGGATGACTTTGAGGACAAGAAGAACATGACTGGTAGCCTGGAAAAATTTGGGGAGTGGTGGGAAGAAATAGTAAGAAAGTTGGGGGCTGGGCATGGTGGCTCACGCCTATAATCCCAGCACTTTGGGAGGCCAAGGCGGGTGGATCACGAGGTAAAGAGATCGAGACCATTCTGGTCAACATGGTGAAACCCCGTCTCTACTAAAAAATACAAAAATTAGCTGGGCATGGTGGCACGTGCCTGTAATCCCAGCTACTCGGGAGGCTGAGGCAGGAGAATTGCTTGAACCCAGGAGGCGGAGGTTGCGGTGAGCTGAGATCGCGCCATTGCACTCCAGCCTGGGTAACAAGAGCGTAACTCCGTCTCAAAAAAATAATAAAATAAAAAAAGAAAGTTGAGATAGAGCATTTTTTAAGGCAGCTAAAGAAGTAGGGGGAAAAAATTAGATCTTAAGAATGACAGCATCTCTGGGAGGGCTTTCTGACTCCATGCTCAACTATTAATGTTGTTTGACACATCCTCTCCTTTCCAGTTTGCTACTCTTTTCCCTTAGCTCCTTTATCTAGCAGATCTAATTCTGTTTGAAAAGAACAGCCACTTAGGATCTTTGTCCAAGTTCCAGCTTGCTGGTGTTTCTCAGCTGCCATGTTGGGAGAGAAATAGGGGTAGAATGTCCATTCATGAGTTGGGATGGGTCCTGACCCCATTCTTCCTCCCTTCCAGGTCCAATGAAGCGTCAAGTGGCAGTAAAATCCACCCGAGGCTTTGCTCTTAAATCAACCCATGGGATTGCAATTAAATCAACCAACATGGCTTCTGTGGACAAGGGGGAGAGTGCACCTGTTCGTAAGAACACACGCCAATTCTACGATGGCGAGGAGTCCTGCTACATCATTGATGCCAAGCTGGAAGGCAATCTGGGACGCTACCTCAACGTGAGACCCCACTCCCCACCTCTAGATGCTGGATTAGCCCATGTTCCTCAAATTTCTTTTAACATACTCTATAAGCCCACCTTTTATTGTTATAAACTCGATCTCAAAGGATCTTAAAGAGGTAGCTTTCTTTCAAAGCATCTGTTATAATGGGGAGGGTCAAATGGTATTTTTTTTTTTTTTTTTTTTGAGGTGGAGTCTCGCTCTGTAACCCAGGTTGGAGTACAGTGATGTGATCTCGGCTCACTGCAACTTCCGCCTCCTGGGCCCTGGTTCAAGCAGTTCTCCTACCTTAGCCTCCCAAGTAGCTGAGACTACAGGCATTAGCCACCATGCCCAGCTAATTTTTGTATTTTTTAGTAGAAACGGGGTTTCACCATGTTGGCCAGGCTGGTCTTGAACTCCTGACCTCGTGATCCGCCCACCTCGGCCTCCCAAAGTGCTGGGATTACAGGTGTGAGCCACCGCTCCCAGCCAGATGGCATCATTCTTCTTCCAGCTCTCAGCCTGCAAAGCCAGATTCAGTTTCCCTTTTTTTTTTTAATCCTGTCCTTAAACCTACAGCACAGCTGCAGCCCCAACCTGTTTGTCCAGAATGTCTTCGTGGATACGCATGATCTTCGCTTCCCCTGGGTGGCCTTCTTTGCCAGCAAGTAAGGAGTCAGGAAAGGGGATGACTGGGAGGGGCAAGGACCACTGAAGTTCTAAGGGCCCCTCCTCCATTCACAATCCAACTCCACCTACATATTCAGTAACCCCAAGTGCTGAATATCTTTCAGATATTCAGATAAAAAGTAAGTTTATCTGCTGTCTTTGCCACACACCATCCTTTTCTTTCTCTTCAGAAGAATCCGGGCCGGGACAGAACTTACTTGGGACTACAACTACGAGGTGGGCAGTGTGGAAGGCAAGGAGCTGCTCTGTTGCTGTGGGGCCATTGAATGCAGAGGACGTCTTCTTTAGAGGACAGCCTTCTTCCCAAACCTTGAACTGTCTTTTCCTCAGGAACTGGGTCTTCCTGTTTGTTGAACCCTGACCCGAAGTCTCTGGTCTAGCTATGCCCCCTAGCTCCTAGTAGATAGAAATGGGGGTTCTGGACCAGATAATACCTTCCAGTGTGGTGCTAGCAGGCAAGATCCCTCCTCCACCTCCAAAGGACCTAAAGGGTGGGGGAGAGATCACCACTCTAACCCAGGCCTGACATCCCTCCCATCCATTTGTGCAAGTGTTCATGCTTCTGACAGACTTTATTCTTGGAATGGAGGCTGTGTATCTACTATCTTGTTTATATTATTTCTTGAAAATCTTTTAACAGTATGATAAAATTTAAGATTGTGATTTCGTTTTTCTCTCTCTCAGCCCGATATTCCCAATTCTGGACCTTTCAGTGAGATACTACCCCTGTTCTCCCCTGAGGGCTGCTGTCATTAATCTACCTGTCCACCTTTGCTTTTTCCATGGGAATTTTTTTAGATGGAGTTCTTGCTCTGTTGCCCAGGCTGGAGTGCAGTGGCACTATCTTGGCTCACTGTAGCCTCCACCTCCTGAGTTCAAATAATTCTACCTCAGCCTCCCAAGTAGCTGGGGCTACAGGCGCCCACCACATCACTCAGCTAATTTTTGTATTTTTATAGAGACACGGTTTCACCGTGTTGGCCAGGCTGGCCTCAAACTCCTGACCTCAATTGATCTACCCTCCTTGCCCCCCCGCCCCAAAGTGCTGGGATTACATGTATGTGAAATTTTTTTTAAAGTTACATAACTGCAAGGAAGGCATAAGAAAGACTATTTTCGTTTATTTAGTTGATCCCCCTTCTCAATTCCTAATAGTCTGACACTTGTTGCCGTGTTTTATTTAATCTTTTTTATTTAATCTTTTAATTAAAAAAAAACCTATTAACAGTACATTTTGGTCTAAAATGGTCCCTCTGCTGAAATGCTAGGTGCTAGCTGTAATTCTGGCTTTAAAAACCAAAACCAAATATTTAATAAATAAAAATTAGAATTAGTTGCCATTCTACTCCAAACCAGCTAGCCTAGCTGAAGAGAAGAGGGAAGGGGAAGAGGCCAGAGAAAGGAGGAGGCAGTGAAATCTTGAACCTGTGGCTACAGGGACAGCTGAAAGAAGTAGCACAAAGAACGATCATCCAAGCAGTCCCCAGTAGAACCCCCACTTTTTGGCAGAGGTAGGGTAAGGGTCATGTGCACCCTCCTACACCCTCAATTCATTTGTGTCATAGAGGGAAAAAAAAGTCAGCTCAGCTTTGGTTTCTGGCCCGAGTTAGGGAGCTTAGAAAGGTAAGCCTTGGTCCAGCTTTGGCAGAATGAGGCCCACAGATGGGACAGTAAGGCACAACCCTGGCTCTGGAGGTCAGGGAGTCAAAGGCAAACAGCTAGGGCCAGATTCTCAGAATAAGGAATGTGAGTTGTAACCCCTACCCCCGAGAGCTGAGGGAGGACCTCAAAAGCAGTCGAAAGGATGACTTGGAGGATAGAGAGGAAAATTCAGCCATCCCCCTCTAAGAAAGAATATAACCAGCCTCCCCCTACCTAGGGATAGACTGGTTAGAATTTGGTTTAAAGGCAACTGGGTGACAAGGAGGGAGGATGTGGAGAACCCTCCTCGCTTTCTCCTTTTTCCCCAGAGCTTAAAGTGACCCTATAGTGGGGAGTGGGGATAGTTCCTTGGCTTTATGCATTAATCTGGGAGGCAGCTGGAATAATGGTTCAGTCATTCTTACGATGGTTGTTACTGAGGACAGGGTGGCCATTGGCTAGGGGCCGGCTCTTTGCTCCTCCCCCGACTGCAGCCTCCTCCCCCTCTGAGCTCTCTGTTTCTTCCCGGTCACTGCGTTCATCTTCTACCAGCTGTGGAAAAGGGACAAGAAGGGTTATTACATGAGATCCTCAAACCCCTAAGGACTGCTTCTCTCTGAGGGTGGCTTGTTCCTGTTATACCCAGGGCCCCACACTAGTTTTTTTTTTTTTTTTAATAGTAAGGCCTACACAATGGGAACAGAGCCTTCACCTTTCCAGTTATGAACTTGTGGGCCATGCGCAAAATGAGGTAGGCCCAGAAGATATGCAGCAGCTGTAAAACTCCCATCATGCAGTTGAAGAAGTAATAGCCAAAGAAGGCAGGATAGAGCTCCAGTGGGTACACCAGGGTACAGTGCAGGATCCTGAGGATTCAAAAGCGAGAGAGAATTGTAAACATGGGCAAGAGCGGGTAAGACACCAGGGAGATAAAGGAAGGGAGAAAGGCAAGGCTCCCGATTCCTTCAGAACAGGAGTGTAGCCTGGCTGTCTACTCACCAGAAAGGCAGGATGACCAGTCGGGTGATGATGAAAACAATGGCGAAGACGATGAAGATGTTGTTGCAGGTGTTCTTCCATCCCGCATAGTTAAACATCTTGGCCGACTGCGCAGAGAGCCCCCACCCGTCACCCTGGGCTCCCGACTCCCTCAAGTACATTCCTATGTACACCCCAGTCAGGAGCACTGGCTCTGCCCTCCTCCTTGGTCCCAGGATTGTCACCCTCCAAATCCCCACCCACCACCTCCCTCCCAAAGAAAACCAGAGGGACCAAAGAACCTGCACCAGGGTCTCTGGAGTTGAGGAAGCCTAACCTCTAGCAGGTAATCAGAAGAGTCATGCAGCGCCATGATGAGAGTCCCAGCTCGGATGTAATTGGCAAACCAGGAAAAGCTGATGAGGATGATGGTGGCCACATGGTGGATGATCTGCTCCTTGAAATCCTGCAGAGATGATGCAGGCCCCAGGGACTTTTTCTTCTTCCCCAGCTCTCACTATGTCTTCCTTCCCCTTGCCTTTAGTTTCCCATATCCCAGCAGCTCCGTCCAGAGTTCCCAGAAGTCAGAGGGTGTCATCCCGAGGCCTCATTTTGGCTCTTAGGCTTAACTGTACAACCCCTTCACCCACCTTCCGCTTGACATCAGAGGCAATGCTGAAGAGCAGGGACCAGTAGAAGGAAAGTTCAATCATGTAGTACCAATACTGCGAGGGGATAGTGCTCTGGGAGAGGAGAGAGAGGTAAGAGCAAACAGCCCCAAGGGTGTCCCACTCCACAAACCCTCTCGCCCCTGAGGTTCTTAGTTCCATCACTCTAATCCCTCTGCCATGGATTCCAAAAACCATCTCTTCACTGGGGTGTGTCTTACCCCCATATGAGCAACCAGGACTCATACCTGTATGGGATATCCCTCCCAAACTTTCTTCATGTCATAGAACCAGGGTTTCTGCAGAGAGATGGTGAGAAGTTAAAAGAGGAGGAACCCAGCTGGTCGCAGTGGCTCACACCTGTAATCCCAGCACTTTGGGAGGCCAAAGCGGGTGGATCACGAGGTCAGGAGTTCAAGACCAGCCTGGCCAATATGGTGAAACCCCATCTCTACTAAAGTTGCAAAAATTAGCCAGCATGGTGGTGTGTGCCTGTAATCCCAGCTACTAGGGAGGTTGAAGCAGAAGAATCACTTGAACCTGGGAGGCAGAGGTTGCAGTGAGCCAAGATCGTGCCACTGTTCTCCAGCTTCAGGTATAGAGTGAGACTCCATCTCAAAAAAAAGGAATCCAAATTCCATGGCCTCACCCAACCTTGCCAGAGAGCCTACTCCCCACCCCAGTAATCCCCACTCACATCCACAATGACGGCCATGCCGGCAATGAAGGCAATCAGGTAAAATGTGAATCTCCAGCTAACAGGAAGCAGAAATGGCTAGGTCAGAGGACAGCACAGTCCCCTGGCAGCCCCCACATACCTGCAGATACCCTCACAGGATACCATTAATAACTGAATTCACCTCCTCACATCTCCCTGCATACAGCCACTGCCTGCCCCTCCCAGCAAGACACATCACATCTTCCTTGCCACCCAGCTTCTCCTGCCCCAGCTTCCCCCACCTGGCTTCTCGGAACTTCTTGAGGAGACTGGGCCGGTCCTGGTTGCGGCGGCGGCGGAACCAACGCTCCACCTGGCGGCCAGAGAGCCCGCTCTGCCGGGACAAAAGCTCTACCTCCGCCTGGGCAGTGAAGAAGCCCGTTGTTATGTTTACCTTCAGCACTCAGCAGTACCCCAGCCTCTCCCAGTAACAACTTCAGTCAGCACCACCGCTTCCCCATCTCTTCAGCCACCAGAGGGAACATTCAAACCCTTTCCCCTCCCCACCAAACTCAGTGATTCCAAGAGCCAGAGCAGCATACAGCTCGTACCTGCTTGGGCTGCTTGCCACTGGTCAGGTAGAAATGTTCTAAGATGGCATTGGGAGGTGCCCGAAGCCGAGTTTTCTCCTTTATGTTCAAGAGGGCAGCCAGTGGTGTAGCCACATACCTGGGGAAGGCGTATGAGTAAGATATCTAGCTTGCTGGGAAGGGAAAGAGCTGCAAGCTAAGGCAACTTTATCCCTGGCCTCAGTTTCCCCAGCTTCCTGGCAACTCCCTTTCTCTAGCCTCCAGGGCTGCCCATAGCTGACAAAGCTGCCTGTGTTCACTAGTGGCCAGGCGGGTGGAGGGTAAGAACAAATAACCATTGATGGAAAGGGCCTGGGGGTGCTGAGCCTTCAGGAAGACAATGGTGCCTTCAGGGAGGGGGTGCACAGTGGGCAGGAACCTGAGTAGCCAGAACACAGGGTCTAGGGCTAACTAAACAGCAAGAAACAAACTTGGAAGTCCAAGAAACTACAACAGGCAACTGGGGAAGACATGAGGGTAGGCTGCAATGCTTACAGCTCAAAGAAGTATCGAATGATGAGGAAGAGCAAGGCCAGGGGCAGCGTGATATAGAGGTCTGAGGCTTTGGCATAGACACGTCCATCTCGGTCTTCTAGATCAGCCCAGGTCAAGTTCACGGGCAGCCACAGACGTTCCCACCAGAAGTAATCATACAAGGTCTGGAGCATCCTGAGTGAGGCGGGAAAAGTGGAGGGCATCAAGAGGGAGCAGCTATGGGGGAAGAGATAGACAAATCAAAGTTTTCAGGGCATATCCAAGGGGCAGAGACTGGAACTCTAGGGAGAGCCCCATCTTGGCCATTGCAGCCTTGGACAAATCAGTTTCCTCATCTGTAATATGGTGGCTTTCCAGTTTTAGCGTTGACTGTCTACAGTAACCTATGGATGTGATCCCCTAGAATTAAGAATCTTGGGGCCTTTACAACCTCTGATTTCGGGGGGGAAGAATCTTGGGGATCTTCTTGTCATTTTGCTCTCTCAACCTGACAGGCAGGACCTGGCCCAAGAAGCTGTAGCCAAAGATCTGAGTAAAGTCCCCGCTTATCCCCCCGACTCTGGCCACTTCCTCGAGCCTGGAGGCCAGAAAGCTTCCAAGGGTTGCCCCAAAATATTGTAGGGCTGAGGCAAAACCTTCTTCCCTTTGACCCATCTGAGTATCAGGTCCCTAAAGAAAAATTAAGAGACCAGGGTAGGCTGGGCGGTGGCTCACGCCTGTAATCCCAGCGCTTTGGGATCATTTGAGCTCAGGAGTTTGAGACCAGCCTGGGCAACATGGTGAAACCCCATCTCAAAAATTAGCTGGGTGTGGTGGCTCATGCCTGTAATCCCAGCTAGTCGGGAGGCTGAGGTGGGAGGATCACTTGAGCCTAGGAGGCAGAGATTGCAGTGAGTGGTGGATTGATCTTGCCACTGCACTCCATCCTGGGTGACAGTAAGACTTTTTTTTTAAAAAAAAGAAAAGGCAAGCCAATAGAAAGCAAAATTATGTCCCCAAATGATGCTGAGCTCCAAAACAATCACTGGACATCAAACTACCACCCACAGGGTTGACACTCCACGCCAAGCCATCTAGACCTTATATATAAGGCAGAAGGACTCTATATAGAAGATTTTTTTTGTTTTGTTTTTGAGACAGTCTCACTCCATCACCAGGCGCCAGGCTGGAATGCAGTGGCACGACCTCGGCTCACTGCAACCTCCGCCTCCCAGGTTCAAGCAATTCTCCTGCCTCAGCCTCCGAGTAGCTGGGATTACAGGTGTGCACCACCACACTCAGCTAATTTTTTTGTATTGTTAGTAGAGACGGGGTTCACCATGTTGGCCAGGATGGTCTCGATCTCTTGACCTTGTGATCCACCCTCCTCGGCCTCCAAAAGTGCTAGGATTACAGGCGTGAGCCACCGTGCCCGGCCAAGATGTTTTAGAAACAAAAGTGAAGGTAGGGCTGCAAAGACTCAAGGACTGTACATCTGGTGGAATTAAAAGCTATTAATTTCTTTTGAGACAGGGTCTTCCTCTGTCACCCGAGCTGGGGTGCAGTGATACAATCACGGCTCACTGCAACCTCCACCTCCCAGGCTCAAGCCATCCTCCCCTCCCGCCTCAACCTCCCAAGCGGCTGGGACTACAGGCGCACGCACCACATCTGGCTGATTTTAGAATTTGTTTTCTTTGGTAGAGACAGGGTTTTGCCATGTTGCCCAGGCTGGTCGTGAACTCCTGGGCTCAAGCAGTCTGCCAGCCTCGGCCTCCCAAAGTGCTGGGATTACAGGCGTGAGCCCCTGTGCGTGGCCAGAGCTATTTCATATAACCAAACGCTCATCCAGAAAATACAACACTGCAGGGGAAGACCCATACCCCCTGAGTCTAGGAAAGAGCTGCTATGTACACCTCCTCCCCCACCAAAAGAGGAAGGAACATGGTGGGAGTGACTGCTCAGATACCCTGAGGGAGGGAGGGAATGGTCTGCGTGTAGCTCAAGAGGCAAGAGCAGCTGCTTGGAGCTGAGAGGAATGGCAAGATGGCCCGGAAGAGCCAGAGATGCTGGGTCCAGCACAACACCTGGCAGTCCTGGGACTCAGCAAGCAGCAGCACCAGGAGGACCAGGACAGTCTTTTCCAGGCTCCCTGGTCCTCATTCTCCTCCTGGGAAGGAGGTGAGGCAGTGGGATTCAGGCTGGCCCACACAGTGAAAGCTGAGACAGAAGGAAGGTGGTTCCCTTCCAAATGGTAAGAAAAGAGAGTGGGGAGATTGTTATCCACAGTGACCTAGAGACCAGTTGGTGCCACTGACTGAAGAGGAGCCCTCAGACCACAGCTGGGCTGGGCTGGGCTGGTCCTGCTGCTGCTCTGACAGCCCCCGCTCCATCCCCACCCGCCACAGAAGCCCTTGCGAAATCCCTCAGCCTGTCACGGGTCAGTATTCCAGCTCAAGGACTTTACCCCCTTGTCCCCACTCCTGGTCACTGATCTCTCAAATGAAATCAGAGGTCAGCACTGCCAGTAAGGGAGCTTCAGCTCCACCTTCTCCCCTCCTCCTCCCCCCAATCACACACACACATTCCAGGCACTGCCCCTGCCCCCTCCACCTCAGCCAGAATAAATATTTAATTAAAGAGATGGAAGCCTTCTGAACTGAACAAAATTAAATGTAATTGTCCACAGTGGAACTTCCCCCACACACACACAAACAAACACACACACTTTTTTTCCTAGAGAAAAGCTGTAGAAAATTGAATAGAGAAGGGACAAGGGTAGAAACTGCGCAGAGAAGGGACAATACGCAACACCTCCATGTGTTTGCACATGGCCCCCTCTTCCCACTTTTTTGCTCAGCCAGATTGAAAGTGAGTCCCCTGACTGCCAGCTCTTGGAGCCCAACTTCTCCTCCAGGGAAATGTAAAGCCAAAGGCAGTCCTAGACTCTGAGTCCCATCCCCAGCCAGGTCAGTGAAAACTGGCAGGGATGTTTCTCTAGTTCGGTGGCAGGCTGGAGTCCCAGAGGGAGGGTAGAGCCCTTGCTGGACTCCTGGGGTCCAGGAATGTCTCATGCCTGCAAAGCAGGTGAGGAGCTGGGGAGGGGGGTGGGGGACAGGCAAAGTAGGGGCCAGAGAATGGTCAGACACCTGGGCAGTGCAACTTCTCACTCCCCAGGAGGAGACAGAGCCTGTCCTCTTCCGCTCCAAGCGGAGAGAGTGGAAGACGGGGAAATGCAGACTAATGGGTGCTCTTAGACCAAGGCTGCAGGCTTCCCAGGAGCACAGCCCTCCCTGTTGGTCCTGTTCCTCCATTAGTAGAGAGGCACTACCCCCAACCAGCAGGGAGGCCCCAGATTCTGCAGGGCAGGACCTCTGATTCAACAGGATGGGAGAGGAAAACAGCTGCAGCCCGGCTGGACTCACTTACACATCCCCACAGAACCCTCGGCTCCCCGAGGCAGTGCTGGGGCAGCCTCCTGGCATCAGCACACAGATCCAGGCAAGATCCCATAGACAAGAGGCTGGGGCAAGAAAAGGTGATGCGTGCACAGGGCAGGGAGACAACCCTGTTTTCCCAGGTCCCCTGGGCCTTCAGGCCAGTTACGGCCTTGATTTCTTGTGGAGAAAATCACATCTACAAACGCTTTTCCACCAAGAATTCACTTCTCCATACACATGAAGAGACATGGTATCTGTCTGTCTGCCTACCTTCTCTCTCCCACCTACCTTGAAGGCACAGAAGCCACTTTGAGCCACAGGCTGGAGAGGGGCCAGAAGAGCAGGGACTTCTCTGGCATTGTATTACCAGGAACTTGAGCAGGACTCTGCCCAGCCCCAACCTTTGCCCTGACTCTGACTGACACCCCTATAAGACCCCTCTAGGTGGATGAATAGAGCAGAGGATCCCCAAAGAAGTTTGCAGATCCAAAGGGCTGAGAGGGCAGAAGTTTGGGGCTGAGAGGAAGGAATTCGCAGACGTCATGTGGTCACTCTGACTGGCTCTCAGTCTGCAGGAATAACGGAGGACAATAGAAAAGGGTTATTGACAAGGGAGAAGAGAGTGACAAAGGTCCCACCAGCTCCCCACTTGCACTGAAGAAGACCTGAATAGTCTTCCTTGTTGAAAACTTTCTTTTCAGCCGGGCGCGGTGGCTCACGCCTGTAATCCCAGCACTTTGGGAGGCCGAGGCGGGTGGATCCCGAGGTCAAGAGATCGAGACCATCCTGGTCAACATGGTCAAACCCCAACTCTACTAAAAATACAAAAAATTAGCTGGGCACGGTGGCGCGTGCCTGTAATCCCAGCTACTCAGGAGGCTGAGGCAGGAGAATTGCCTGAACCCAGGAGGCAGAGGTTGCGGTGAGCCGAGATCGCACCATTGCACTCCAGCCTGGGTAACAAGAGCGAAACTCCGTCTCAAAAAAAAAAGAAAGAAAACTTTCTTTTCAGGCAACAGCAGGTCATGAACTAGAACTAGAGGTCTACAAGCATGGATGCAGCCAAGAGGCTGCAGGATGGGCCTCAAAATAAGCCAGATTGTAAAAAAGAGGTGGGTGAGAGGCAGTAAGAACAGTGGTCCGCAGCCTCATCTGGCCGACAGCTTGTCTGTAAAGTCCCATCAGAGGCCTCCACAGACCCGAACAGTGCATGAGACCATGGTCCCAGGGGCAGAGACAGGCAGGTGTGAGAAGCAGCTGGGGCGGTGCTGAAGGACACAGTGAAGCATCCGCCAGCCCGTGGCCAGTGACAGGAGAAAGAGGAGGCCCTTCCTCCCCCGGGGAAAATCTGGCCAGAGGCCACAGTGAGGGGAGTGGGGGACCACGGGAGAAAAGGATCTCTCTCTGGAACAGAGACTGTTTAGATCACGGTATGGTCAGGGCCAGGTCCTCGGGGACAGGGCTGCAGACAAGTCCTTACCCTTAGGAGCCCCTTTACAAGCGCAGCCAGTCACACCCAGGTGCAGTCACCCTAACTCCGGTATGGGGCAGCAACCCCCACCCACCCCTGCCCCAGCACAGATATGGGGGTGACTGCCTGCTGGAGGCCTTCCCAGACTCAATTATCCGGGAAAAGTGGTTCAGTGCATTCGTCACGATCCTCAGAAGCCCCTGAACCTGGGCCTGGCAACTCAGGTGACTGAAATCAGGTTTTGATGGCAGGAGCCAGGCTTAGGGAGGGAGGGACTCCCAGTGCAGGCCAGAGATGAACGCTCCACACCTGCAGTCAACCCACTCGCCACGGGCCTCTGGTAGTTAACAAGCTACGGCCCAGAAAGCCAGTTCCACCGGGAGCTCCCTTGCAGCCACTCACACCTCATAACGGTATGGGAGCCTTAGCGCTACCCGGCAGGGGCAGGCGCTGCGGGCCGCTCCTTCCTGTTTCCCGTTAAGCACATGGAAGCTTTGACCTCGCCTGCGAGGTGGGCCGGTAGGAAGAAAACGGAGCAGGGCCCCCGAGCCATGGGACGCGTCCAGGCCGGGGCAACCCCGCGGGCCGCTGCCGGGGTGGAGGCTCTTGCGCCGACAGTCCTCCACTCCCCAACAAAGGGGCGCCGCGGCTCGGCCCGATCGCCCACAGCCCCCGCGCCCCCACCTCCCGCCCTACCTGTTGCCCGGGAGGGCGTCTCGGGCTCGGGGCGGCGCTCCAGAGGACACCGCGGCGCCAGGCCCGCCGGCCCCGGCCGCTCCCCAGAGGCGCAGCGCCCGCCCTCCCCGGCCGCCGCCATGAGCGCCCGCAGCGCCCCCTGCCAGCGCCGCGCGCCCCCGGCCCCGCGGCCCTCCCAGCCCGGCCCCTCCGCGGCCCCGCGACCAAGCGGACCCCGGGGCTCCCAACTTTTCCGCGGTCCCTTCCGACCCCGCGTGGGGCTCCGGCGCCGGGCGGGGCCCTGACTCACTTGGCGGCAGCGCTGGCGGGGCCGGGGCCGCTGCTCCCTGTGCTCCGTGTGCACCGTCTGCCCGGGTGGCTGCTCCGAGGCCCTTCGGCCTTGCTCCCCGCGCCTCTCCTCCCCCTTCCGCCCGCCCGCCCGCGCCGCCCTCCCTCCTCCGCCCGCCGAGCCCAGTAGAGCTGAGCCCGAGCCCAGCCCAGCCGGGAGAGAAAGGCCTCGAGCAGCTCCGGGGCCGGGAGCCTGGGCGTGGACGGGAGGGGAGGGCGGGGCGGCCTCTGCGCTGCGGCTGCCCCTTCCCCCCGCGCGGGCGTCGGGACCCCAGCCCTCCGCTCCCTGGCCCGCAGCCGCGCCCACCGTGCTCGGGAGAAGCCCCCGACGGGGGGAGGCGGGTCTGGGCTCCTCCGGCCACTTCGGGGTGGGAGGTCGCCCACCGGGACCGACACTGACGCACCGGATGCCGCGGGGTCCAGGCACCCGAGCGGCGGCGCCCTTGCCCCCCACCCCTGCCACCCCCAACTGCGGTGCGGCCCCCGCGGTGGCACATTCCACCTCCAGCCCCACGGGGCGCCGGCGGAGAGGGCGCAGCCCAAGGGTCCAGTCCAAGTGCCTCGCGCCGAAGCTGAAAACCTCTCCCTGGGCTGACCGAAGCAGCCGACCCTCTAGACCCAGTCAAAGCCTGCGACCCCTCGGGTGACCCTCGCCTATCCCGCCGTGAAAGCCGCGGCCTTTCCACCCAGGTGCTACTGAACCTACCCCGTAGCCGGGAAGAGCAAACCCAAACTTGCGCACACCCGACGGCCCTGTCTGAAAGAGCCACCCAACTTTTGTTTTGTAAAAAGTATTTGGATTTTCCAAAACCACTTTTATCCGTATTCGATTTCGTGTTAAAAAGTGTTTCCCAGACCGGGCGCGGTGGCTCACGCCTGTAATCCCAGCACTTTGGGAGGCCAAGGCGGGTGGATCACGAGGTCAAAAGATCGAAACCATCCTGGTCAACGCGGTGAAACCCCGTCTCTACTAAAAATACAAAAAATTAGCTGGGCATGGTGGCGCGTGCCTGTAATCCCAGCTACTCGGGAGGCTGAGGCAGGAGAATTGCCTGAACCCAGGAGGCGGAGGTTGCGGTGAGCCGAGATCGCGCCATTGCACTCCAGCCTGGGTAACAAGAGCGAAACTCCGTCTCAAAAAAAAAAAAAAAAAAAAGTGTTTTCCAGCCGGTCGCGGTGACTCACGCCTGTAATCCTAACACTTTGGGAGGCCGAGGCGGGCGGATCACCTGAGGTCCGAGTTCAAGACCAGCCTGACCAACATAGTGAAACCAGGTCACTACTAAAAATACAAAAAATAACCAGGGGTAATCCCAGCTACTTGGGAAGCTGAGGCAGGAGAATTGCTTAAACCTGGGAGGTGGAGGTTGCAGTGAGCCAAGATTGCGCCATTGCACTCCATCCTGGACAACAGAGCAAGACTGTCTAAAAAAAAAAAAAGTGTTTTCCAGCCGGGCGCAGTTGCTCACTCCTGCCATCCCAGCACTTTGGGAGGCAGAGGTGGGCAGATCACTTGAGGTCAGGAGTTTAAGACCAGGGCGGTCAACATAAGGAGACTCTATCGCCGGGCGCTGTGGCTCACGCCTGTAATCCCAGCTCTTAGGGAGGCAGAGGCGGGAGGATAGCTTGAGCCCAGGAGTTCGAGACCTGCCTGGGCAATATAGCGAGACCCCGTTCTCCACAAAAAGGAAAAAAACAAAAAGACAAAAACAAAAAATAAAATAAAATAAAAATAAGCGTAACGAGACTCTATCTTTTAAATTTTTTTTTAAGTGTTTTCCCCTTGAAAAGTGTGGTAAAATTAATGTTTCAGGAAGATGTAACATGTTTTTCCTAGAAAGCTGGCCTTAACTCTTAACGTGAACGAATGTTAACTAAGATGTATTTGAGGACTCACATACAGGGAGAGCTGCGGCTTACTCCGTGGAGAGGTACTTTCATCAAATTTCTTACCTTGAGAAAGTGTTGCCTTTTTTATGCTGCCGCAATCAGAGAGAGCCTCTGACAGTAGCTCGGTTTACCTGGTAAAGTCCTGTAGGGAGTGTGACCCCCACTAATCCGGCTGGGGGGCTCATCCCTCACCTCAGGATCTTTCTGGAGGGTGAGGAGGCAGAGACTGACCAACTCACCTGTTAGTTCAGCTGCTCTTTTCTTGGGGACCTGCAACCCAGACACAGCATGGGAGCAAAGAGAGTGGTGGTCCCTAACCAGCTCCCAGGGCCTCTCCAGGCTTTTCCCTTGACTGATTTCCCAATTTCCAGCAACCCCTCCAGCCATGTTTTCTCCTCCTTTCCTTATTGGCATATCTTCTGTCTTGTCTTTCTTTTTTTTCTTTCGGAGACTGGGTCTCACTCTCACTGCAGCCTCGACCTTCTGGGCTCAAGCAATCCTCCCACCTCACCTCCCAAGTAGCAGTGACCACAGTCGGTGCCACCACACCTGGCTCATTTTTGTATTTCTGGTAGAGACACAAGATTTCACCATGTTGCTCAGGCTCATCGTGAACTCCTGAGCTCAAGTGATCTGCCTGACTTAGCCTTTCTTGATTTTGTTTTGTTTTTATTTTGAGACGGAGTCTCCAGTCTCGCCCAGGCTGAGTGCAGTGGGACGATCTCAGCTCACTGCAACCTCTGCCTCCTGGGATCAAGCAATTCTCCTGCCTCAGCCTCCCGAGTAGCTGGGTCTACAGGCACACACTACCACACTGGGCTAATTTTTTAGTAAAGACAGTGTTTCACCGTGTTGCCCAGGCTGGTCTCAAACTCCTAAGCTCAGGCAATCTGCCCGCCTTGGCCTCCCAAAGTGCTGAGATTACAGGTGTGAGCCAACTCAAAGCTCAATTGTCTCTTTCTACCCCTTTGTAACTCTCCTCCCTCAGCCTTCTAATACCAAAGTTCCCTCTTCCTTTCTTCAGTGCCCTCCCCAGAGTCCTTATCTGCTACACCCCTACACACCTTTTTTCCAGCACAGTTCAGGGGCTCCTCTTTGGGCCCCAGCTCACCTTTGGGTCTCTCTCTAACACTCTCCATATCTCCATCCTACTCATCTTCCTGCTTTTAGTTCTGAATTCCTTTCTTGGGTGGTTTTCCTAGGTGCCAGGCCTTCCTGCAGTTCCCACCAAACTCTTTAAATGCTTCCTCAGGAGGACTGAAGACTGGCTAATTTTTTTTTTTTAAGATAGTAGTGGTGAGGGGAAGTTCTGGGGCTGAAGTCGGATAACAGGGGCCTGAGAAATAAAGATAAGAGGGTATACTCCTCCCCCAGGAGACAAAGGAGAAGGTGGTTGGAGATGGGGAAACTGGGCCTCAGCCAGCACTGGGATGATGCCACCAGCCCTGTCAACATGCTTGGGGAGCACACACACCACTTGCCCTGGCTGGACTGGAGACTGTGATCGCCACCCTTCCAACCCATCCCCCAACACCCAGGCTGTCATGGCCACACCCACAGTGCCCCAAGTACTGCCTGCCTTGCAGTGACTCACTTCCTCTGTATGGGCTGCTGAGGTGTCCTAAGGAGAGGACAGCCCATCTCCAGGCTTTCAGCCCAGAGTGTAGATATCTGAGCAGGCTTTGTGATGAGCAAACATACATGGAGCCCAAATGTGGAAGGTTGGTTTTTCAGATCAGGTGGGACTGTTAACACTGAAGCCTATTTGGCTAAGAAGCAGATCCTGGCTAGTGCCTAAGAGAGATTCAGGGGCCAGGAGTTGCAGGGAGGAAACATTTCCTAAACAGAGGTAAAATAGCCAAGAGGAGTTTCTATGTATTCTGAAATCAGGCAATGGAAAGTAGTTGCAGAAAAGCAATGTAGGGACCGGGCACGATGACTCATGCCTGTAATCCCAGTGCCTTGGGAGGCCAAGGCGGGTGGATCACGAGGTCAAGAGATCGAGACCATCCCGGTCAACATGGTGAAACCCCGTCTCTACTAAAAATACAAAAAAAAAAAAAAAAAAAAATTAGCTGGGTGTGGTGGCACGTGCCTGTAATCCCGGCTGCTCGGGAGGCTGAGGCAGGAGAATCACTTGAACCTGGGAGGCAGAGGTCACAGTGAGCAGAGATCACACCACTGCACTCCAGCCTGGGCGACAGAGTGAGACTCGGTCTCAATAGATAACTAAACAAATACATTTAAAAATGAAAGCACCAAGGCGGGTGGATCACGAGGTCAAGAGATTGAGACCATCCTGGTCAACATGGTGAAACCCCATCTCTACTAAAAATACAAAAAATTAGCTGGGCTTGGTGGCGTGTGCCTGTAATCCCAGCTACTCAGGAGGCTGAGGCAGGAGAATTGCCTGAACCCAGGAGGCAGAGGTTGCGGTGAGCCGAGATCGCACCATTGCACTCCAGCCTGGGTAACAAGAGCGAAACTCCGTCTCAAAAAAAAAAAAAAAATGAAAGCAATGTAAGACTTGGGGTCTGAAGAGGTGGACCTGGGAGAACAGTGGAGGCACTGTATGTGGCTGCCTTTCCGCTATATTCCACTAAAAGGGAGCCCAAATCCGCTTCGCCCACATCGAGGCATGAAGAAAACACTGGGCGGCAGTTGAGAAACCTGGATGCTGATTCCAACTCTGTGGCCTTGGGAAGTCACTCGGCCTCTTCGAGTCAGTCATGAAAGGGTGGTAGATTAGATCTTCTCTAAGATTTCCTCCAACTCTCCAATTCTAAAATGTACCGCATGGGGGTGGAAGGTGATCGGTACATCTGAAAACAGCTGCAGTCTGGCCCTGAAGTTGAACAAAACATCCAGGGAGAGGAGTGCGCTTGCACCAGGCTTCCGTGCAACGGCTGTGAAGGCATCACACACACACACACTCCTGGCAGGCAGGGACTTCGCTTCTGCCACGTGACCGAGCTTCTGCCGGCCTTTTCCAAATTCAGAGTTCAGCCTGGCAGATTGGCCGGGAGGCCCTTGGAGACGTCTGGCGCGGGGGAAACTGGAGGCTTCACGGTTCCTTCAGCTCCCCCTAAGTCTGCAGGGAAGGTAGCCAGAAGAAACTGAAAGGTACAGAAAGCCGAGGGCCGGGGGTCCCCAGCTGCTGAGCAGCCTGCTATGGTTACCCAGCCTAACTGCGGTCACCCAGTCTCCAGCATGTGTCCGAGGTCAGCCTCGGCGGCTCCCCTGAGTAAGTATCTGCCTGAGGCTCTTCCCCTGATGCTACTGGCATACCACGTCCGCCCAGGAACCGGGGTCCTCAGGAGGCAGCGCTTCCCAGGTGGGCTGAGACAGCCCCTTGTTAGATGGGGCGGGAGCCAGAGACCTCAAGGGACCACTAGGGGGCTCCAGACTCTCAGTGGCTGCGCGCGCCCTCTTCTGGCCATTTTGGGCTTGGCAAGCAAAGTTTCAGAAGCGAGCCAAGATCTGACTTCTTAGAGAGCTAAGTAACAACAGTAACAGTTACCGTATCACAATGCTTACTGCCATATTAGTTAACATTGTGACATTTCCACTTCACGGCGCTGTGCCCATAACTCTTCTAAGTGCTTTATATGCACTGTACTTATTTCTCACAACAACCTACCACGTGAACACCATTCTGTGTCGGTTGATGAGGAAACAGCACAGAAAGGTTAAGGTCGTTGTCCAAGGTCACACAGAAGACCAGAATCCGGCCTCTGAGAACTCTGGCTTCAGAAGCTTTGCTTTCACCCACCATGCTGAGACTGAGTCCCATTTTTGGGTTGTCAGGTGAAATACAGGGCACACTGTAAACTATAATTTCAGATAAACAAAAAATAATAATTACAGGTGGTAGCTCACACCTGTAATCCCAGCACTTTGGGAGGCGGAGGTGGGCAGATCACCTCAGGTCTGAAGTTTGAGACCAGCCTGACCAACATGGTGAAACCCCATCTCTACTAAAAATGCAAAAATTAGCCAGGTGTGGTGGCAGGCACCTATAATCCCAGCTACTCAGGAGGCTGAGGCAGGACAACCACTTGAACCCTAGAGGTGTAGGTTGCAGTGAGCCGAGATAGCACCACTGCACTCCAGCCTGGGTGACAGAGTGAGTGAGACTCTGTCTCAAAAAGTATATTTCATGAAATATTTGGGTCATACTTGTACCAACAAATGATTCCTCATTTATATGAAATTCTAATGAGCTGCATGTCTTGTATTTTTCTCTATTTAATCTAAAAACCCTAATGTACAAGGCACTTTTCTCGGCCACATGCAATTGCACATATTACCTCATTTTTATATTTTTATTTTGTATTATTAGTTCAGTAGCTTTGGGGGAGGAGGTGGTGTTTCTCTAGAGGTCACATTACTTCATTTAATCATCCCAGGAAACCTGTGCTCAGAGGCCCCAGCATGTCCCACCGCCTCCGTCTCTCTTAGTTCTCTCATTTAGAGAGCTGAAAGGACTAGCGAAGCTTCCAGAACACAGGTGGCAGAGCCGGGGATTGAACCTGCAGTCTCCAGTTCTGACACAGGTGCATGTTTTCCACTTTAACAGGAGAGAAAGTGAGGCGCCGTGATTACCGCCACAGACGTGTCCCTTCGTGGCATGTCCTCCGGCCCGGTCTACTCAGCGTGGTGGCGCCGCTGCAGTCCCTCCTCCAGGGATAGAGGAATCCCAGTGAAGTCCTTCCTAGGTTGGGAGGGAGGCAGAGGAGTGGAGACAGGGCTTTAGCTTCTACGACCCGCCTCTACCCCAGCTCTCCAGGGAGGCAGGAAAGAGACTGGGTGCAGACCCAAGGGAGCCAGCTGTGAGGCCGGAGCAGCTGCTGCGTGGGAGCGCCGGGGCTCCACAGATCTGTTCACCTGCTGCTCTCTGCAGAGACTGCTGGGGTTGCAGCACCTGCAGCTGAAACTGCCAAAGGGCCCAGGCAACAGAAGGGAGCTAAGACACCAGGCGAGGGAGCCTCCCCCATCTCCCTGTTGCCTTTTGGAAGCGTAGAGCTTCCCTCTGAAGGTAACACCCTTTGCTTTTTCTCTCTTGACTCTGTTCCTCGGCTTCCACCCCCAAACACTTGGGCCCTTCCTTCTCCACAGATATAAACAGTCCCTGGGCCCTCTCCACCCAGGCTGACTGGCTCTAATAAGGCAGCAGTCAAGGGAGTTTCTGGGCTGGGACCCCCTCTGGGGTGCAGGCTGGGGTGCGCTGCTGGTATGTGCCCCAACAGGTTTTTCCCTATCAGCCTTGAAATCAGCCTGCAGCCTGTCTGACCTGCCCCCCAGGGAGCTGGAGCCAGGGGCAGAGCCAGGTCAGAAGCCGGACTTTGTGACTTAGGCCTCTGTGGTCCCACCTGGACCTACAGTGAAGGCAGTGCACAAAGCCTCCTGTGTCTGAGGCTGAGCCGCTGTGAGGCTGAGCGGAGTTTACTCACATGGGTTGAGACCCAGTTCCTGGGAAAAGAGATGCTGGGCGGGAAGGCGTCTGCATGTGGGACTCTGCCGGTCCTCTCCCACATCTGGGAGGGGCCAGAGTCAGACAGCAGCTGGGCTGGTCCCTGAGAGAGGTCATCTGACTGGCTGTTCAGCCTGGGCTGCTCACGCCCCCACTTTCTTCTACAAGGCCACACCGGAGCGGGTCCTCACACCTGCAAGCCCCTGCACCTCTGGGTAAGCACTAGGCCTGTGCCCCCATCCGGGAGACCTCGTTGACTGTTTTGGGGGAGGGAAGAATGAGTTTTCCTTTTCCAACCCGAGAGTGCCTCCTGCCCTGTCCAGGCATCCATGTACTTGCAAGAACTCTTGCTCACATCAGCGCAGAGATTGCACCTGCTGACCTTGAGATTCCGGCCTCTGTCTCCCAGGGGGAGAGGCAGCCGAACAGGTAGGCAGCTGTGTCGGTGGGAGTTGCGTGCCGCCTGTCAGCTGTGGCTGCGGGTGGGGGAAGATGCTATTTGGAGTTGTCTCCCACTCTGCAGGCTTCATCCTGCCCACTCACCTCAGCTCCCCTATACTGCCCCGGGAGACCCCAGCCAGGCCCCAGAGGGAGGGTCAAAGACCTCAGAAGCGGGGCATCTACCCCAGACGAAGACCTGAGGAGCCTTGGTGCTGACCCTGGTGTCAGGGAGGGCTGGCGCCTGGTCCAGGAGTATCCCACATCAATCCCCACTTCCTAAAGGAACGGGGAGAGCTGGGGAAGGTGGGGGCTCCCCTCTTACCCCACCATTTCAGCTCCAGTTCTGGCTCCAAGCCTAAGCAGGTTGATCTTTTTTCTGCAACAAGGGAAAGAAGTGACTGGAACCCAGGCTCCAAGGTCTCGGGGGCAGGTCATAAGGAGTCCCCAAAGGGCCGGGAAATTCAGCTCTGTGGGGTCCTGTCTCTTTCCCAGGACAGCCGGTAACACCATGTCTGTGAGTGGCAGTAAGATGGCACCATCCCTCACTCAGGAGATCCTCAGCTACCTGGGCCTGGCCAGCAAGGTAGGTGCTGTTGAGATTTTAGAGGTCACTTTTAATATCTCAGCTCCAGCTGTGAGAGGATGGGAGGCAGGAGGAGGGGTAGACAGCCTGGCCCCTGCCGACCACCCCATGCTCCCGCAGACTGCAGCGTGGGGGACCCTGGGCACCCTCAGGACCTTCCTGAGCTTCAGCGTGGACAAGGATGTGCGGAGGCTGCTGAGGGCCATTACCGGCCAAGGTGAGCCCCTCCACACTTGAGGCCGCCTTTCAGAGCCACTCTGTAGACCACGGAGGACCCAGGAAGGAGGAACTAGCGATGCTGGGGAAACATTTGTGGATTGCTTCATTCTTGTGTGCCAGGCACTGCAGTAGGTGTGTCGTACCCATTCTCACAACACCCTGTAAGGCAAGGCTTATTATTTGCATTTTCCAGATGAGGAAGCTGGGCCTCAGAGAGATGAGGAGGCTTGCCCAAGGTCACTCAGCTCGTAATGATACAACTGGGATTCTCATCTAGGTCAACCAATCCCCTCAAATCGTTTTTTCTTACCACCACACCAGGCCACCTTCGCCTTGGTCTGGGTCAGATTTGCATGCTGTTTTGGCATTTTATTTGCAACTTCTTCTTCTTCTTCTTTTTTTTTTTTTTTTTTTGAGACGGAGTTTTGTTGTTGTTACCCAGGCTGGAGTGCAATGGTGCGATCTCGGCTCACGGCAACCTCCACCTTCTGGGTTCAGGCAATTCTCTTGCCTCAGCCTCCTGAGTAGCTGGGACTACAGGCATGCGCCACCATGCCCAGCTAATTTTTTTCTGTATTTTTAGTAGAGACGGGGTTTCACCTCGTTGACCAGGATGGTCTCGATCTCTTGACCTGGTGATCCACCCGCCTCAGCCTCCCAAAGTGCTGGGATTACAGGCATGAGCCACCGCGCCCGGCCTGCAACTTCTTTTGAGATCAAATGAAAGGGGGTGAAATAGCTGTGCTCCTTTCCTTCCTAACCCTCTCCTGGAGCTCCTTCCCTCCTCCAAGGAGTAGGGGCATCCCAACTATGTAAAGGTTCTGCTCAGCCAGGCACGGTGGTTCACACCTATAATCCCAGCATTTTGGGAGGCTGAGGCAGGCAGATCACGACGTCAAGAGACAGAGACCATCCTGGCCAACATGGTGAAACCCCATCTCTACTAAAAATACAAAAGTTAGCCGGGTGTTGTGGCGTACCCCTGTAGTCCCGGCTACCTGGGAGGTGAGGCAGTGGTTGCAGTGAGCCGAGATGGCACCACTGCACTCAGCCTGGCAACAGAGCAAGACTCCGTCTCAAACAAAAAGACCCTGCTCACAGCACAGCCCTCATCTCGGTTCAGGTGTGGACTGCCGTGCCATTGTAGAGGTGCTGACCAACCGGAGCAGAGAGCAAAGGCAGCTCATCGCTCGAGCTTTCCAGGAGCGCACCCAGCAGGTGAGACCACGCTGACCTCCCACAGCAGTGGACTGGGGTGAGAGACCCCCTGGAGGACGTGAGAGACAGCAACAGCCCCTGGGGTCAGCCCCTGCTTCCTGAGATGAAAACCAGCCGAATCTTCCCAAGCGTCCCTGCTTCCCTCACCCCCGTGCCTCTGGGCTCCTTCCCCTCACCCCCGTGCCTCTGCTATGGGGACCATCTGTTGTAGGACCTGCTGAAGTCCCTACAGGCAGCGCTTTCCGGCAACCTGGAGAGGATCGTGGTGGCTCTGCTGCAGCCTGCAGCCCAGCTTGATGCCCAGGAATTGAGGACAGGGCTGAAGGTAGCAGGAGGGGACACTTGCTGGGGTGTCCAGGGAAGGGAGAAAGCTGTCAGCCCTGCTTTGCCCACTCGAGTCCCCTTCTCGTCATCCCATATTGGCCCTTAGAAGGAGAAGCAGCCAGCGTCTGCCCGTCTGCCATCCTAATGACGTGGCCAGTCTCAGAGTAGACTCCCAATTTCCTGTAGGCCTCAAATTCTGCTGTGGATGTGGCCATTGAAATTCTTGCCACCCGAACCCCACCCCAGCTGCAGGAGTGCCTGGCAGTCTACAAACACGGTAAGAACACGGAGGGAGGGTCCCCAGGTGCTGGAGCGGGGTCTGCAGGAGGCCTCTTCTCTCCTGTACTCCCCATAGGTGAGCTATCTGGCAACCTGGCTGCCTAAGTTCCATTCCCTATTGGCCTTTCCTCCTTCCCACCCAGTGCTGCAGTCTCCCGAGGGGACAGAGACAGTGAACTGGGGTGACAAACCACCTGGAGGACTCCAGGTCATTAAAAAAAGAGAAGCAGGGCTGGGCATGGAGGCTTACACCTGTAATCCCAGCACTTTGGGAGGCCGAGGCCAGTGGATCACGAGGTCAGGAGTTCAAGACCAGACTCGCCAACATGGTGAAACGCTGTCTCTACTAAAAAATACAAAAATTAGCTGGGCATGGTGGCTCATGCCTGTAATCCCAGCTACTTGGGAGGCTGAGGTAGGAGAACTGCTTGAACCAGGACCCGGGAGGCGGAGGTTGCAGTGAGCTGAGATCACACCACTGCACTCCAGCCTGGACTACAGAGCAAGACTCCATCTCAAAAAAAGAAGAAGAAGGAGGAGGAGGAGGAGAAGGAGGAAGAGAAAAGGAGAAAAGGAGAAGGAGGAGAAGGAGAAGGAGAAGGAGAAAAGGAGAAGGAGAAAGAGAAAGAAGGAGAAGGAGGGCTGGCCGTGGAGGCTTATGCCTGTAATCCCAGCACTTTTTTTTTTTTTTATTTTTTTGAGATGGAGTTTCGATCTTGTCACCCAGGCTGAGAGTGCAATGGCAGGGTCTTGGCTCACCGAAACCTCTGCCTCCTGGGTTCAGGCAATTCTCCTGCCTCAGCCTCCTGAGTAGCTGGGATTACAGGCACGCATCACCGTGCCCAGCTAATTTTTTTTGTATTTTTAGTAGAGACGGGGTTTTACCATTTTGACCAGGATGGTCTCAATCTCTTAACCTCGTGATCCACCCACCTCAGCCTCCCAAAGTGCTGGGATTACAGGTGTGAGCCACCTCGCCCGGCAATCCTAGCACTTTAGGAGGCCAAGGTGGGCAGATCACCTAAGGTCGGGAGCTCGAGACCGGCCTGACCAACATGGAGAAACCCCGTCTCAACTAAAAATACAAAAAATTAGCTGGGCACCATGGCACATGCCTGTAATCCCAACTACTCAGGAGGCTGAGGCAGGAGAATTGCCTGAACCCAGGAGGCGGAGGTTGCGGTGAGCCGAGATGGCGCCATTGCCCTCCAGCCTGGGTGACAAGAGCAAAACTCCGTCTCAAAAAAAAAAATTAGCCAGGTGTGGTGGGACATGCCTGTAATCCCAGCTACTTGGGAGGCTGGGGCAGGAGAATCACTTGAACCCAGGAGATGGAGGTTGCAGTGAGCCGAGATCATGCCATTGCACTCCAGTTTGGGCAACAAGAGTGAAACTCTATCTCAAAAAAAAAAAAAAAAAACAAGCAGGCCAGGCACAGTGGCTCATGCCTGTAATCCAAACACTTTGGGAGACTGAAGTAGGCAGGTTGCTTGAACCCAGGGGTTCAAGACCAGCCTGGACAACATAGAAGAACCCCATCAGTGCTAAAAATACAAAAAAAAAAAAAAACCAGCTGGGCATGGTGGTGCATGCCTGTGGTCCCAGCTACTCAGGAGGTTGAGGTGGGAGGATCACCTGAACGGAGCTTGGGAAGTTGAGGCCACGGTGAGCTGAGATCATGCTATTGCCATTGCACTCCAGCCTGGGTGACAGGAGTGAGAGTATGTCTCTCTCTCTCTCTCTCTCCCCTCCCTTTCTCCCCCCACCCCCACACACACATAAAAAGAGAGAAGCAATGATTAACCATCTTAATCTGGAGCTCCAAGGCAGATTCCAAAGTGATAGTCCCAAAGGTATTCATGTCACCTTCCCAGCCCCTTGCTGTCCCTGTCATCACACCACATTCCAAGCTGAGCCCAGCCTTGCCGCAGCCTGGGGGGAAGATGGGAACCTGCCCTCTGAGTCATGGGTGTCACCTCTCAAGCCCCGATGGCTGTCCTTGCTTGGCTGCAAGTGTCTCACCCACTAATTTGTGGCTTCTTCCTATCCTCATCTCACCACCCCTTCCCCCACCCTCACCACTTGGTCTTACTTTCCCAATTTTCCTCTGATGTCTAATCTTGGCCTACATTCTTCTTTTGAGACAAGATCTTGCCCTGTAGCCCAGACTGTGAGTGATGTGATTGTGGTTCCTTGTAGCTCTGACCCTCCTGGGCTCAGTCCTCCCACCTCTGCCTCCTAAGCAGCTGGGACTACAGGTGCACCACTACCATGCCCAGCTAATTTTTGTATTTTTTTGTAGAGATGGGTTTTGCTGTGTTGTCCAGGTTGGTCTCAAACTTCTGGGCTCAAGCCATCCCCCTGCCTCAGTGTTGCAAAGTGCTGGGATTGCAGGCATGAGCCGCCACCCCGGCTCTGGCCTGTGTCCCTAATCCCTCTCCTACCCTCCTTCCTTCTTGCATCTGTTTCTCTCTTCTCCTTCCTTTTCTCCCATTCCTGCTCTTTTCCCCACCTTTTTTTTTTTTTTTTTTTTTGAGACCTAGTTTCACTCTTGTCACCCAGGCTGTAGTACAATAGTACAATCTTGGCTCGCTGCAACCTCTGCCTCCTGGGTTCAAGTGATTCTCCTGCCTCAGTCTCCCAAGTAGCTGCGATTACAGGTGCCTGCCACCACGACCAGCTAACTTTTGTATTTTTAGAAAACATGAAGTTTTACCACCTTGGCCAGGCTGGTCTTGAACTCCTGACCTCAGGTGATCCACCCGCATCAGTCTCCCCAAGTGCTGGTATTAAAGGTGTGAGCCACTGCACCCGGCCTCATATCATTTTTCCTTACCTCCAGCGAGGATGGCAGGTCCTAGCCCTCTTGTGTTATAATGCACGTTTCCCTAGCCCTTCCTCACTGCCTGGCCCCACCTCTAATAATGGTTGCCTCCTGCCCAGCAGGTTGGTGCTGGGTGATGAAGCCACCGCACACCTTATAGCTTAGAGACGTTGTCAGGTTGCTGTGATGGTACCTGTGCCTTACATCCTGGGAAGCAGCAGCCGTGAAGCTGCTCCAGGCAGGGCTTAGCAGGGCTGGCGGGGGGTGCATAGTGAGTCAGGTGTTCAGCAGGTCCTGGGAATATCTACGCTGGGAAAACTCGGGTGGACTCAGAGAGCTCCTCACCCCACCCCAGATTTCCAGGTGGAGGCCGTGGATGACATCACATCTGAGAGCAGTGGCATCTTGAGGGACCTGCTCCTGGTCCTGGCAAAGGTAAGGAGGACTGGCCTGCAAGGAAGGGAGTCACATTTACCAGCCAAGGAGACGCGCTGGAGCAGGGAGCAATGCTGTCCTGTAATGGACAAGAGAGGGCTTTGGGGGAGACCAGGCTTTGCTTGTTGCTCTGGAAATAAAAAGATGCCCTTCAGACCGCCCTCTAAGAACAGTTTCTCCTCCTAGGGGGGCCGTGACAGCTACTCTGGAATCATTGACTATAATCTGGCAGAACAAGATGTCCAGGTGAACACGGGGTTTGGGAGTGTGCATGGCCGCCATGCATGTAAGATGCCTTCCTCCAGCATATCTTAGAGCCACTGACCTACATGCCCATTTGTCCTGCAAAGCCGTCCCTGCCTGGGAGAGGGAGTCCTCAGTGATGTGATGGGGGATGAGGTATCAGCTATCATCATAGCTGAAGCCTTTTCTCCCACCTAGCCTCTGACTCCTCAGCTCATGGACCAACAGATTCTCCTCTCATGAGCATTTGGGGGCAGAAAGCTTCCTCAGACCCTTTTGGGGATTATTTAACCCTTGGGTACCAGGATATTTCCAAATCAGTGAATAGAGCTGTGAGGCTGGACGGGCAGAGCCCCTCCCTTAGCCCTATTTCTTTCTTAAAAAATAAAAAACGGCCAGGCGCGGTGGCTCACGCCTGTAATCCCAGCACTTTGGGAGGCCGAGGCGGGTGGATCACGAGGTCAAGAGATCGAGACCATCCTGGTCAACATGGTGAAACCCCATCTCTACTAAAAATACAAAAAATTAGCTGGGCACAGTGGCGCGTGCCTGTAATCACAGCTACTCAGGAGGCTGAGGCAGGAGAATTGCCTGAACCCAGGAGGCGGAGGTTGTAGTGAGCCAAGATCACGCCGTTGTACTCCAGCCTGGGTAACAAGAGTGAAACTCCGTCTCAAAAAAATAAATAAATCAAATAAAATAAAGAAAATGACATCACATAAATAAAAACAACTAGTAGGCCAGGCAAGGTCCCTCATGCCTGTAATCCCAGAACTTTGGGAGGCTGAAACAGGAGGGTCACTTGAGCCCAGGAGTCCGAGACCAGCCTAGGCAACATAGTGAGACTCTATTTCCACAAAATGTTTTTTTCGAATTAGCTGCACCTGTAATTCCAGCTAGCTAGGAGGCTGAGGGTGAGGTGGGAGGATCATTGGAGCCTGGAAATTGAGGCTGAGGTGAGTCCCGATCATGCCACTGCACTCCAGCCTGGGTGACAGAGAGACCCCATCTCTCTCTCTCTCTGTGACGCACACACACACACACACACACAACCCTAGTTTACAGGTCAAAATAACCTTTTCCACCTGCGTGTGGTGGCTCACGCCTGTAATTTAGGAGGCCGAGGCAGGCGGATCACTTGAGGAGTTTGAAACCAGCCTAGACAACATGGTGAAACCCTATCTTTACTAAAAATACAAAAATTAGCCAGGCATGATGGTGGGTGCCTATAATCCCAGCTACTCCGGAGGCTGAGGCTGGAGAATCACTTGAACCTGGGAGGAGGGGGTTGCAGTGAGCTGGGATCATGCCATTGCACTCCAGCCTGGGTGACAGAACGAAATTTGTCTCAGAAAAAAAAAAGAAAAATATTTTCCACCCTCAATCCCATTTCCATCATGACAGTGATAGATTCTGGGAACATCATACCCGTGGCTCCCTAGGCCCTCACCAGTGATCCTGACTCCCTCCTCCCTCCCAGGCACTGCAGCAGACAGGACCCAGCACAGAGAAGACATGGGTCCTACTCTTTACCCAGCGAAATCCTGAACACCTCATCCGAGGTACGCACAAGCCATCTTGTCCCCCCAAGCTTGTTCTAATGATGAGTTGGTTGAGGAAGGTGGGGAGGGACCATCCTTTCCTGTTATAATGAATCCCCCATCTGTCTTTCTAACTGCCTCCCACACACACCACAAGTGTTTGATCAGTACCAGCGGAGCACTGGGCAAGAGCTGGAGGAGGCTGTCCAGAACCGTTTCCATGGAGATGCCCAGGTGGCTCTGCTCGGCCTAGGTAGGGGCCTGCGCAGGATTTGTGGAGTGAGTCTCTCTTGGGATGGGAGATTGTGGCCCTAGTTGTGAGCCTCCACCCTTCCCATCTTTGCTTCCAGCTTCAGTGATCAAGAACACACCGCTGTACTTTGCTGACAAACTTCACCAAGCCCTCCAGGTGAGAGGGGTGCTCCTTTCCCTCCCCAGAGCAGAAACTGGGGAGGAGAGAGGAGTCTCAGGTTGCTGCTAATGTAACCATCCCATATACACCATCTACACCTCTCCCTCCCAGGGCTTACGCTCTGTGGCTTACACAGGGGTGGAGGAATGAGCTGTAGTGAGAACTAACTTAGCTGACTCTCAGGGGCCCTGAGACTAACATGTTGGCCTTGTTAATGTCTAGGTGGCCAAATCGAGATATGCATCTGCTCTGTAAGACAGTGCCTTGTCCAGGTTCAGTTGCCACCAGAGGGATGGTGATAACACTAGCCGGAATAATGGCAAGGGCTGGCATTTCATAGGTGCTGACTGTGTACGGCCTGTCCTGAGCGTGACACACACATCCTTATCTTACAGATGGCAAAACTGAAGCATAGAGAAGTTAAGCACCTTGCTTGAGGTCACATAGCTAGTAAGTCATACGGTCTCCCTACACAACACGTAATGATAGAAGACATTTACAGTCCTGTGTCCACTCCTTGTCACCTATACCATAAGTGCTCTTAGCACCCAAGGCCCCCTTTCTCCACACTGGTCAGATTTTGTTCCACATTATCCATCTTTTTTGTTTGTTTTTTCGAGACAGAGTTTTGCTCTTGTCACCCAGGCTGGACTGCAGTGGGACAATCTCAACTCACAGCAATCTCCACCTCCTGGGTTCAAGCGATTCTCCTGCCTCCACCTTCCAAGTAGCTGGGACTACAGGCACCTGCCTCCATGCTCAGCTAATTTTTTTTTATTTTTAGTAGAGACAGTGTTTCACCATGTTGGTCAGAGTGGTCTTGAACTCCTGACCTCAGGTGATCCACCTGCCTTGGCCTCCTAAAGTGCTGGGATTACAGGCGTGAGCCACTGTACCCACCCCATATTATCCATACTTAAATTGGTGACCGTGGCTTGAGTAGTTCCACCAATAGAATCCAGTCATTCTGTTGATTGAATTAGGTCTTCTTTTTTTTTTTTTTTTTTTTTTTTTTTGAGACAGAGTTTCGCTCTTGTTACCCAGGCTGGAGTGCAATGGTGCGATCTCGGCTCACCGCAACCTCCGCCTCCCGGGTTCAGGCAATTCTCCTGCCTCAGCCTCCTGAGTAGCTGGGATTACAGGCACGCGCCACCATGCCCAGCTAATTTTTTGTATTTTTAGTAGAGCTGGGGTTTCACCATGTTGACCAGGATGGTCTCGATCTCTTGACCTCGTGATCCACCTGCCTCGGCCTCCCAAAGTGCTGGGATTACAGGCGTGAGCCACTGTGCCAGGCGTTTTTTTTTTGAAGTGGAGTCTCACTCTGTCACCCAGGCTGCAGAGCAGTATCGTGATCTCATTTCACTGTAACCTCCGCCTCCCAGATTCAAGAGATTCACCTGCCTCAGCATCCCAAGTAGCTGGGATTCCAGGCACGTGCCACCACACCCGTGTAATTTTTGTATATTTTTAGTAGAGACAGGGTTTCATCATATTTGCTGGTCTCAAACTCCTGATCTCATGATCCACCTACTTCGGCCTCCCAAAGTGCTGGGATTATAGGCATGAGCCACCACAACCAGCCAAAACCCACACTGTTGAATATAGATGAGAGATTTATCTTAGAAGTAGTAGTCAGGGGCCAAGCATGGTGGCTTCTGCCTATAATCCCAGCACTTTGGGAGGCCAAGGTGGGAGGATCACTTGAAGTCAGAAGTTCAAGACCAGCCTAGGGGACATAGCAAGACCACGTCTCTACAAAAATAAAAAGAAAATTGGCCAGGCATGGTGGAACGTGCCTCTACTACCAACTACTTGGGAGGTTGTAGTAGGAGGATTGCTTGAACCCAGGAATTCAAAATTACATTGAGCTATGATTATTCCACTGCACTCCAGCCTGGGTGATAGAGCAAGACCCTGTCTCAAAAGAAGAGAGGAGGAAGAGGAAGAGGCAGAGGGAGAAATAGTAGTCAGACAATAACATACATCAATTATTCTGAATCTTTTATTTTTTTGAGATGGAATTTCACACTGTTGCCCAGACTGGAATGCAGTGGCCTGATTATGACTCACTGCAACCTCCACCTCCCAGGTTCCAGCAATTCTCTTGCCTTGGCCTCCCAAGTAGCTGGGACTACAGGTATGCACCAACACACCCAACTAATTTTTGTATTTTTTAGTAAGACAGGGTTTCAGGCCGGGCACAGTGGCTCACGCCTATAATCCCAGCACTTTGGGAGGCCGAGGCGGGTGGATCACAAGGTCAAGAGATTGAGACCATCCTGGTCAACAAGGTGAAACCCCGTCTCTACTAAAAATACAAAAATTAGCTGGGCGTGGTGGCGCGTGCCTGTAGTCCCAGCTACTCGGGAGGCTGAGGCAGGAGAATTGCTTGAACCCAGGAGGCGGAGGTTGCGGTGAGCCGAGATCGCGCCATTGCACTCCAGTCTGGGTAACAACAGCAAAACTCCGTCTCAAAAAAAAAAAAAGTAAAGACGGGGTTTCACCATATTGACCAGGCTGGTCTCGAACTCCTGACCTTCGATCCACCCATGTCGGCCTCCCAAAGTGCTGGGATTACAGGCATGAGCCACTGTGCCAGGCCCTGAATTGTATTCTACTTCTTTCTTTTTTTTCTTTTTGAGACAGTCTTACTGTTGTTGCCCAGGCTGGGGTACAATGGCACAATCTCAGCTCACTACAACCTCTGCCTCCCAGGGTCTCCTGCCTCAGCCTCCTGAATAGCTGAGATTACAGGCCCTTGCCACTATGTCCTGCCAATTTTTGTATTTTTAGTAGAGAAAGGGTTTCACCATGTTGGCCAGGCTAGTCTTGAACTCCTGACCTCAGGTGATCCACCCGCCTTGGCCTCCCAAAGTGCTGGGTTTACAGGCGTGAGCCACCATACCTGGCCTGTATTATTATTATTATTTTTTGTATTATTCTTTTATAAGGGATATGTAGATATAGGAAAACAGATCGTGAAGAATATTTATTCAGAAAAACGGCCTTCAGAAAATCAGCAATGGCTGATTCAGGACAAAATTTGGACCAATCTGTAGTAAAAATGAATGTTCCTAGGGAAGATCCTGGGGCCATATTGCAATGCCAAGTATATGATTAAGTATTGTAATTATAATTAGGCCAGGCACCGTGGCTCATGCCTGTAATCCCAGCACTTTGGGAGGCCGAGGCAGGTGAATCACCTGAGGTCAGGAGTTCGAGACCAGCCTGACCAACATGGTGAAAACCCATCTCTACTAAATATACAATAATTAGCCAGGCATGGTGGTATGTACTTGTAGTCCCAGCTACTCGAGAGGCTGAGACAGGAGAATCACTTGAACTCGGGAGGTAAAGTTTACAGTGAGCCGAGATCACGTCACTGCACTCCAGCCTGGGTGACAGAGCAAGACCCCATCTCAAAAAAAAAAATTATTATATTTAATACAGCTTTGGTGTAAAGGGTACTTGTGGCTGGGCACAGTGGCTCATGCCTGTAATTTCAGCACTTTGGGAGGCCCAGGTGGGTGGCTTGCTTGAGTCCAGGAGTTTGAGACCAGCTTGGGCAACATAGTGAAACCCCATCTCTACTAAAAATACAAAAATCAGCTGGGTGTGGTGGTGGTCACCTATCATCCCAGCTATTCAGGGGGCTGAGGCAGGAGACTCACCTCACCCGGGAGGTGGAGGTGGCAGTAAGCTGAGATCACGCCACTGCACTCCAGCCTGGCGACAGAGAGAGAAACGGAGTACTTGTACGACAATGAGAGTGTTCAGTCGATGAGTGATTCTTGCCCCAATTCTGTAATTTAGAGTAACAAGAGTTAGAAGAATGGACACTGGGGAGCAACTGGCAGTCTTTACAACAATACAAAACTAACGATGCATGGAAGTTAGTAAACGTTAGGCCCACTGGCAATCAGGTAATGAGTCCAAATGAATTGGAGCATCCTGTTTTACTTCATTTTCTTTTGTTTGTCAAAGGAGTTTGCCATCTGTGAGGATACCTAAGTGTGTGTTATGGGCATTTCTGGGAAGAGTCTTGTGAGCAAAGTGACTCAGGAAACTCTGAAAATGAGGGTGTTGGGAATTGGTGACAACCCTGGTGCACAGAAAAAAAACAGCAATTTCGCACTTAAGTTTTTATTTAGAAATCTCTCATGACAACACATCATTTAGTATAATCAATTATAATTCAGGATTTTGATAACTTGTACCTCTGTTATTTTATTTATTTATTTATTTATTTATTTTTCGAGATGGAGTCTTGCTCTGTCACCCAGGCTGGAGTGCAGTGGCATGATCTCAGCTCACTGCAACCTCCGCCTCCCGGGTTCAAGCAATTCTCCTGCCTCGGCCTCCTGAGTAGCTGGGATTACAGATGCCCCCCACCACGCCTGGCTAATTTTTATATTTTTAGTAGAGACAGGGTTTTACCATGTTGGCCAGGCTGGTCCTGAACTCCTGACCTCGGCCTCCCAAAGTGCTTGGATTACAGGCATGAGCCACCACACTTGGCCTGTTATTTCTTTTCTTTTTATTTCTTTCTTTTTTTGGGCTGGGGGGTGGGGGACAGAGTTTTGCTCTTGTTGCCCAGGCTGGAGTGCAATGGCACAATCTTGGCTCACTACAACTTCCACCTCCCGGGTTTAACCTATTCTCCTGCTTCAGCCTCCCAAGTAGCTGGGAGTACAGGTGCGCGCCACCATGCCCAGCTAATTTTTTGTATGTTTAGTAGAGACGGGGTTTCACCGTGTTACCAAGAATGGTCTCGATCGCCTGACCTCGTGATCTACCCGCCTCAGACTCCCAAAGTGCTGGGATTACAGGTGTGAGCCACCAGGCCCGGCGTGTTATTTTTAAACTGAACCTTTCATTATTTAGCCAAAAAGTGGAGGGCTGCTGCATGTACAGGGGGAAATAGCAGTGTCGAACACTAAGGATTCAGCATGGAGAACCTGACATGCAGAGATGGGCCTGAGAGACGGCCCTATAGGGTCAGAATCAGAACCAGATGTCACACAGCCTTGATCCTTATCAGAGCCCCATCAGCTCAGGTTTGTCCTCCTCGGATAGTCACTGACTTGAAAGTTTAAACAAGTGTTCCTGGTTTTCCTGCTGGCAGTCTTTATATGCACCGAGTCTATTCCAGCCTTTCTGGTGTACCTGTCTTCAGAGCTGCTCACCACTAAATTGTGGGGGTGCACGGCTCTCAGCTAATGGCAGGGCCAGGAAAAACACGTGGAAGGAAGGAGAGAAATAAATACTCAAGCTGCCTTCACAGAGACTGACCCTTCCTGCTGTTATCTTTCACGAGGATAGACAAAGATAACTTTGGTCCGAGATAATGTATAATGTATACTCCTATGACTCCCACCTTGCCTCCCCTTCCTACAAGAACCCTCCCTGCCATTCAATCCCTACTCTCAGTGAGAGTCTCACTAATTACCCCGCCATCTGTTTCTTCCCCCTACTAGGAAACTGAGCCCAATTACCAAGTCCTGATTCGCATCCTTACCTCTCGATGTGAGACCGACCTTCTAAGTATCAGAGCTGAGTTCAAGAAGAAATTTGGGAAGTCCCTTTACTCTTCTCTCCAGGTGAAACTTGGCTACTTCTTAGCCTGGAGCCCCAGGGCCTTCACTCCTCACCTCCACCCTCACTCCCTGCACACAGCTGAGTACATTTTGGCCGGGAGAAACCCAGGAGTCTTTGGTTAACGTAGTGCAGGACTCTGAGCTCCAGGGAGGACCCTTCCCTTCCAGATGAACTGTGATGGACCAGCCCAAAGGAGGGGAGAGAGTACTTGGGCCATAGTGGTGGTGGATCTTTCTAACACTGAATTCCCTTGTCTGCAGGATGCAGTGAAAGGGGATTGCCAGTCAGCCCTCCTGGCCTTGTGCAGGGCTGAAGACATGTGAGACTTCCCTGCCCCACCCCACATGACATGCGAGGATCTGAGAGTTCCATGTTTGGCTGAACCTGCAGGAGACCTGCTGGGCCTCCAAGTAGGAGGACCCCTCACTGAGCACCACATACTCCAGCTTCTTGTGGAGCCTGGAACGGTTTCTTTAAAATCCCTTAATTTTCCTCTTCTCAAAACTCTATCTGTACCTGGGTCATCCAGCTCCTCTTGGGCGTGGGGAAATGAGTTCTGATCATTTCCGCCTCACTCGTCCCTCCTGTACCCTGGCCAGAACATCTCGCTGATACTTGAGTTCTTTTGGCAAATCACTGTTGTTTGGGTTCTCTGATTGAAGTCTGGGTGGAGCAGGACATGGACCAGGAAGAGGCCTTGGAGTTGAGGTGCCTTTGATGTGCACTTGGCTATTCAGCAGGAATCCTGTTTTGCCCTAGTGCTGCAGGAATCAACACCCACCCTCTCCATGTCTCCCCTCGCCCTCATTCTCCAGGAAACTTCAGACAAAACAATTGAGAAACAGGCACCAGAACAAGATGAGAAATGGTCAGAGGGAGCAAACAACCATCTGTATGAACTGGGAAGCAAGCGGAGGGTCAAGCTACCCTTGCCAGCCTGGGAACTCTTGGGTTAGCAGAAAGCACAACCCTCAAATTCGTGTGTCCAAGCAGAACTGGAAACGCACCTCCCACGAGAGCACTATTTCCCATAAAAGACTTATCAAAAACAAAAACACACACAAAAACAGGCTTTGGTTCCCCCTGCTGGCTAAATTAGAAATGACAGGTAGTCAGGCACAGTGGCTCACACCCGTAATCCCAGCGATTAGGGAGGCAAAGGCAGGCAGGTCATCTGAGGTCAGGAGTTTGAGACCAGCCTGATCAACATGGCAAAACCCCATCTCTACTAAAAATACAAAAATTAGCTGGGCGCCGTGGCGCATGCCTGTGGTCCCAGCTACTTAGGAGGCTAAGGGAGGAGGATCACTTGAACCTGGGAGATGGAGGTTGCAGTGAGCTGGGAGTGTGCCACTGTACCCCAGCCTGGGCAACAGAGTGAGACTCCCTCTTGAAAAAGAAAGAAAGAAATGACAGGTAAGCACCTTTCCCCCTGATTCAACTCCCACTTTTTGCGTTCTTCAATTGGGTCAAATAACCCCATTGCTTCAGGGTAAGGCAAACAACAGATCTCAGGATAAGGCTTTTTTGTTTGTTGGTTTGTTGCTGTTTTGTTTTGAGACGGAGTTTCACTCTTGTTGCCCAGGCTGGAGTGCAGTGGCGCGATCTCGGCTCACTGCAACCTCTGCCTTTAGGATTCAAGTGAATCTCCTGCTTCAGCCTCCCAAATAGCTGGGATTACAGGTGCCTGCCACCATGCCCAATTAATTTTTTGTAGTTTTAGTAGAGATGGGGTTTCGCCATGTTCGGCAGGCTGACCTCAGGTGATCCGCCCACCTTGATCTCCAAAAGTGCTGGGATTTCAGGCTTGAGCCACCGCAACTGACCAGAAATTTTATTTCCAAACCCCAGGAAGGCATTACAAATAACAGAGATAGAAACCCAAATTAAGTCTTGAAACAACTGGAGACAGGCCTGGCTGTGTGGCCAGGAGCATCCAGGCAGCAGGGATGGGATGCAGGAGAGATGCATTCCAGATAGAGACCTCCACAGAGCCTCAGTCTGTATAAATGTGTGACTATTCAGGGACCAGGCATTGAGAACCAGAAACCCATCAGTCCCAGTGTTGCCCTGGGTGGGATGCCGAGAAGGCAGCAGCACATGAGGTCAAGGACATTACCAAGTCTGACCTTTGCATTTGTCACCTGCTCTGATCCCCAACAGTCCATGAATAAGTTACCCTGCACATCTCAAGGGTAGAGGCGGGAGAACAAGCCAACCAGCCATAGCCTCTGAAGAAGGGGCAGGCCAGGCTGGCAGTGGGGCAGACTTAAAGCAGAATGCAGTCTGACTCATGCTTCGGCCTCTGCCGACGCTCCCCAGCTGGGCGTCCAGATGTGGCTCCTCTACCCTGTATCGGATTTAACAATCGGTCATTGAACTGCCTTGGAAGAGCACAAGAAGAGATTCTAGAAGGAGCAGGTGTCAGGATAGGGACAGGGAGTAGGGAGAGGAAGACAGAAAGGGGTGCCAGGGGAGAGAGACAGGCAGGAGAAGGGCCCTGAGAAAAGAAACCTTGAAGAGACCAGTGTGGGAATAACAGGTGTTCTGGACCCAGCAAAGCATGAGGTGGAAACTGGGAGAGTGGGAGCCAGAGCAGCAGCCCACCTGCAGTGACAGGGCCCGCGTCCGCGTCCACACTGGCTGTGCTGCCTGCTGCTGCTGATACTCCTCCTGCTGAAGCTGCTGGGCCAGCTCCAAGTCGGTAAGCCCCAGCGCGCCTTGTGGCTGCTGCTGCAGGGACAGAGCAATCAGGTAGTCCTGGGAAGAACAAGAGTTGTACGGTGGGCTGAAGCCCAAGGCTATGGCTATTCAGGTGAGGTTTCCAAATCAGTTTCTCTGCGTCTCTCAAATTCTCTAGCTCTTTCTCCCTCCAGAGCAGCACACACAGCCAAGTGCATTATCTGTGGTGCCAGAGAATACACACCAAGTGAGGAGCCGGCCTGAGGGAACCCAGAGAGTGAAGAGGCGTGGGTTCGCATGGCCTCTAGCGTTAAAATGCGGATAGCAAAAAGCTCTCCGAGGCACATGTGCTCTCTGCACTATTCCTAAGGGCCCCACACACCTGGTCTACCTGCAGCTGCTTTTCTGGGGAGCCACTCCCACCTTCTGCTCCAGGCCCCTTGCCCAGGGAATGACTCAGGTGAAAGTCGGAGTCACAGAAGCAGCTGTCTCCATCCACATTGTGCAGGCTCTCCCATACGACTTGCTCCTCCTGTAGAAAGCCCTGGTCAGTGACCAGTAGGTACAAGTGACTCTACAAAGGAAAGAACAGAGCTCATTGCAGGATAGATGATACAGAGGCAGTTCACTGCCAGAAATCTTCTGAGACGCACAGCTGGAGACCATTTGAATAGGCTGGTGTGCGAGGTGGGAGATGTCGGTATGAGCATGTGGAAGAAAGGGACATCTGAGCATATGTTCAGTTGGGTGTGAGCACCGTGGTCATTTAGGTCAAGCGTGGAGTCCTCGGGGCTGAGACGCCACACAAGACCCTGCTCCCCTCATCTCCCATTGTTCTCTGGGCTTGCCTGATGGCTCTGAGGATAAAGCCTTTGAGAACCAGAGAGCCCTCCTGCTTCTGCTCAAATCCTAGAGAGCTTTGGCAGTTTCTAACTTTTTTGGTGGGGTAGGGGCACGGAGTCTTTCTCTGTTGCCCAGGCTGGAGTGCACTGCAGTGGTGTGAGCCAAGAGGCTCGCTGCAACCTCCACCTCCTGGGTTCAAGTGATTCTCCTGCCTCAGCCTCCCGAGTAGCTGGGACTACAGGCGTGCACCACCACACCCAGCTAATTTTTGTATTTTTAGTAGAGACGGGGTTTTACCATGTTGATCAGGCTGGTCTGCAACTCCTGACCTCGTCATCCATCCACCACTGGGATTACCACTGTGAGCCACCATGCCCAGTCCAGCAGTTTCTAACTTTTGAAGACCAGCATCGTTCAAAAATTCAACTGCCCCTTCCTAGGAGAGGATTGTATTTTCCTGTCCTATTGACAGTAGGCTTATCCCTATATCTTTCTCTGGCCAGTAGATGTGAGCAGAAATGATACATGTCATTTCCAAACAGAAGCTCTAAGGTCTACGGCCATACCACCCTGAATGCGCCTGATCTCGGAAGTTAAGGAGGGTCGGGCCTGGTTAGTACAGGGAGATCGCCTGGAAATATTGGGTGCCGTAGGCTTTAAAAAAAAAAAAAAAAAAAAGCAGCAGCAGCTCTAAGCACTAGTGCACAGTGCCCCCCCCACCCCCCACCCCGCCCCGCATATACTCCAGATAAAGGATCCTTTGTCAGCTGCCGCAGAGTGAAAGTGGTGTGGGACAGAACCGTAGCCAATCCACAGTGGACATGCAGCGGGAGTGGGAAATGAACCTTTGCTGTGGTAAACCAAACCACAGGGATTTCAGGGGTCATTTGCTACCGCGGCTTAATCTAGCGGATCCCAGCTGGACCCATAGAGAAAAAGGCTCGAGGAAATGATGGCCCCACAGCCCATCGCCCCCAGACCCTCATTACCTTGTGCTTAGTCATGGTGCTAAAGTGGTTGTTTCGGAAAAAGACGCTAAGTTCTCCCTCCTTAGCACCTGTGGTCAGCTCACACAGCCCGTGGTAGGTCAGCTGGGCCGCCGTGGTCTCCAGGAACTGCTCCGCAATCAGGCCTGTCACAACAGCAGAAGTCAGGGGAAACTTGGCTTAAATTCAAGGTCCCCAACAGGAAGGACCGTCCAGTGAGCCCCTGTCAAAAGCCCTGGGGGTCAGTCCCACCTTCTGATGTCCCCTTCTTGAAACCTGGCTGTATTCATTCACTTAGCAAATACTCATAGAGCAGCTGCCTCATGCCAGGCACTGGGGATACCTCAGTGAACGAAACAGAAATTCCCCAGGCTCCTTCTTGTGAAACTTACATCTAGTGGGATGTGGTGGGAGAAGACACACAATAAAAACTAAGCCTAAGGAGCCGTCATTCCTGCCACATAATATCCAAGAAAGGGGAGGAATGTCACCTTCTGTCACGAGGTTGGTGTCACTGGAGTGTTTGCAGGTGATGATCTTCTCCACCAGCTGGTTGTAACTCAGCTTCCCAACTGCACGCACAGCCTCAGGACTCTGCTTGGGTAGTGAGTGGGATGGTGAAATACCAAAAAAAATTAAGATTTTTTTTTTTTTAATATGGGGTTTCACCATGTTGGTCAGGCTGGTCTTGAACTCCTGACTTCAGGTGATCCGCCCGCCTTGGCCTCCAAAGTGCTTGGATTACAGGCGCGAGCCACCATGCCCAGCCTAAGATTTTTATTTTTTTTTATTTTTTGAGACGGAGTTTTGTTCTTCTTATCCAGGCTGGAGTGTAATGGCGTGATCTCGGCTCACCGCAACCTCCGCCTCCTGGGTTCAGGCAATTCTCCTGCCTCAGCCTCCTGAGTAGCCGGGATTACAGGCACGCACCACCATGCCCAGCTAATTTTTTGTATTTTTAGTAGAGACGGGGTTTCACCATGTTGACCAGGATGGTCTCGATCTCTTGACCTCGTGATCCACCCGCCTCGGCCTCCCAGAGTGCTGGGATTACAGGCATGAGCCACCACACCAGGCAAGATTTTTCTTTTTTTTTTTAAGATAGGAAATGAACAAAGCTCACAAGGACTGCAACCCTGTGATGAATGGTTCCTAAACATTTTTTTTTGTCTCTCAAAAAACAAAAACTTTCTGGAACCATTCATCACAGGGTTGCTCTACATTGCCTATATTGCCAAGGCTAGCCTCGAACTCCTCCCAGGCAGCTGGGGATACAGGCATGTGCCACCAAGCCCATCTGGTTCCTGAACTTTTGATGTCTAAAGAACTGATCTATTTGCATGTAGTTTGTTTGTATTTGTATGCTACCCCCAAAATAGGTTAAAATTCAAGGAATTCTGTACTGGGTCCAGTCTCCAAACCCTATTTCCCTCCCAAGCCACTCTCACCCCTAACTCCCTAACCTCTACCCCACAAAAATGTGCCTCTCTCATGTCAGCTTGAGCGGGACAAGGTCCCGGTGGGCCCTCCCGCCCTCACCTGTGGATCCACAAGCCAGCCATGGTACAGAGGTATGCCTAGGAGGTCAAAGACGCTGCACTCGGGTGTGTACTCAAAATCGGAAACGCCTGTGAACCGGACATTGACATCCAGACCTGTGGCCAGTTTAGGCAGCACTGTCATTGCATCATCCACATTCTGAGGGTAGAAAAACGTGGTGGATATTCTAGGCTTCTCTCCCACCATCCACTGCCACCTCCAGAAATTAAAAATTAATCTTGTTGCTTTTCTTCCCTGATTCTCTTACAAGCCATTCCATTTCTCCCTTGCCTCAACCCTTCTCTGTCTTATATAAATGAACATTGTTTTTCTTTTGGAGTCAAGGTCTCGTTCTTTCATTCAGGCTGGAGTGCAGTGGTGTGATCCCGGCTCACTGCAGCCTCAAACTCTTGATTTCAAGTGACCCTCCAGCCTCAGCCTTCTGAGTAACTGGGACTACAGGCACACACTGCCATACCTGGCTAATTCTTGAAAAAAAAATTTTTTTTGGTAGAGACAGGGGTATTATTATGTTGCCCATGCTGGCCTTGAACTCTTGGCCTCAGGTGATCCTCACTCTTTGGCCTCTCAAAGTGCTGGGATTACAGGCGTGAGCACCAGGCAAATGAACATATTTTCTAGGACAAAAGTAAACTCCTCTGACTCCTGCAGAATAAAATCATGGTTCAAGGAAACCTCTGAAGAAGCAACAAAAGGCTTCTCTTAATATCTCAAGATGCACCCTCAGCAACCTGCAGCCCCCTGGGCCTGCAGACCTTTCGTCTCACCTGCTGGAAATTAAGCTGCAGTCCCTCTGACGTCTCGTGGGGCCTGATGGACAGCAGGCAGTTTCCTACAAGACAGGGCCCCTTATCAGCTTACCCCACCAGTTTCCCAAAAGCTAAGCTTCCTCTTGTCCTAGAGCATGGGGGTAATTTCACAGAACACCGATTTTCAGCACTGGAAAAGACTTCAAGTCTAATCTGGAGTCTTCATTTCTCAGAGGAGGTGACAGGCTCCTAAAGGCGAAGGGCCCGCCCAGGGTCACATATGAAAGCTAAGGGCAGAATTGGTGTTATAACACAGGGCTCCTGACCCCTTTGCTTTTCATTCTCCAGCCTTGCAGAGAAGCCCCATGGACCCTTACCCTCCCTGCCATATCAGAACCCTCAAATGGAGATCCCTGAACAGTCTGGATTTCTGGCTGAGTGGATAGCTCGGGAACCCCTTGGGTAATTCCTCTCCAAGGCCCAGTCACTCACCAAGATGGGCCATGAGCTCATCCGATGTGATCACTTCCTTCTGCGGGGGAAGCTTCACCTGGAGGCAGAAGGGGTGATCACATGTGTGCTCCCCCCACTCCCAGAAAAAGTGCTAAAGGAAGAACCCATGGAAAGGCAAGGGGTGGGGCAGGAAAAAAGGCTTGCAGCTGGCACAAGGGAATGAATGTGAAATCTTGCAAGGCATGTGCATTTGCTAGGGAGTAGGAGACACAGGATTAGGACAGATCTTCCTCTTTTTCTTCCTTTGTTTTTAGGAAGATCTTACTTGTTCAATCTGGAGAAATAGGGACGATGATCTGAAAAGTTTTGCCTGGTTTGAGAACATCAGGATGATCAAGGAAGTAGGTCTGGGAAGAATACTCCCCAACCCCGTCCGCACCCCTAACTAACTGCATGTTCTCTTACCTTCCACTGAAGAAAAAGGATGTTCATGATGGCAAGGAGAGGGCAAGGGCCGTTAGTGCTCTGCGTAATGATGGGTGTCCGTTCTCCTTTCCAAGGGATCCACTTGACACAGTAGAAATCTGGCTCAGGCTGTCGGGTCCTGGGGGACCGAGGAAGCTCCTGGGGCGTGGAGCATGCCCTCATTGTCTCTACTTCAGGCACTGTCCCAAGGGTTGGCCCCGGGGGACTTGAGCTAGCTTCAGGTGTAGGGGACTCAAGGTTGTCCCCACACTGGCCAGGCAGCAAAGCTTGGTCTGCTGGCTCCTGTTCTCCAGCCTCCCCATCAGCATCTCTTGTATCTGTGTCCTGAGGGTGCTCATCTGGGCCTGCCGGGACCTCATGGTTTTCAGGGATGACTGCTTCTGCAGTCCCGGCCTTACCAGGGGCTGGATGCTCAGGCTGATGGTGTTCCATGGTCAAAAAGTCAGCTGAGGGGCACCGAAGGTGTTTACTGACTTCAGGGACCTGCCTAAGCCAGACTTGGGATGCAAAAGAGGGGCCCGTCCAATAAGAAGAAAATCACTGGGCTGGAACGCAAACTAACCCAGAAAAGTCTTGGAAAAGGAATGTAGTGTGGAAGGCTGGGTAGGGTTTGGGCATCACTCCTGGCTATGGGCAGTATATGGGTAAACAGAAGGGTCCGTGTTGCGTTCTTTCCACCTCTAACTTGCTGTGACCAGATGAGACCAGGAGGGTACAGGGCTTCCAGGCTGGGGAGGGTGGGATTGAAGACATGGGTGGAGTGAGCTTCCCTGAAACAGATCATGACAAGGAATGGAGAAAAGACAGCGAGAAAGGGAGAGCACGAAGGAGAAAGAAGGAAGAGAGATGGAGAAAGAAATGTGAATCTACGTTAACTAACGGTTACTAATATGATGATCTTTAGCTTACTCTAACAGGCATCACGTCAGTAACCCCCTCAGAGCCAGGACAGGGATACCCCACACCCTGCCCCTTCACACAACATCCTAAGCATCCACAGGCTGCTTGTATTTTTAGGGATACCTTCTCTGTCTCACCCAAGGGTGAAAGATCAACAGTCACATAGCGCTAGGGGTGAGGAAGGGAGGAGGCACAGGGAGTTAGTGCCATGCCCCTAAAGGTGAAATGCTGGTGAGGAAGGGGAAGTCTTTCTCCTCCAAGGGCTCTCCTGAACCGTACACAATCCCAAACCACAATATAAAGGCCTGGGTGGGGTTTCCTGTAGGCTGGGAGGGGAAATGTAGCTTGTGGGGACTGCAATCAGAGATTGGTTCTGGTAAGTAACTTCAGATTAGGGTCACAAAAAGCAAAAAGCACTCCCCACAAGTTCTCCCAGAAAGCCCTTTTTTAAAGAGGGAGTCTCAACCGGGCGGGCACAGTAGCTCACGCCTGTTATTTCAGCACTTTGGTAGGCTGAGGTGGGCGGATCATGAGGTCAGGAGTTCGAGACCAGCCTGGCCAATATGGTGAAACCCCGTCTCTACTAAAAATAATAAAAAATTAGCAGGGCGTGGTGATGCATGCCTGTAATCCCAGCTACTCGGGAGGCGGAGGTTGCAGTGAACTGAGATTCAGCCACTGCACTCCAGCCTAGGCAACAGAGTGAGACTCCATCTCAAAAAAAAAGAAAAAAAAAATACGGAGTCTCGCTCTTTCACTGGGCTGGAATGCAGTGGCTGGATCTCGGCTCACTGCAACCTCCACTTCCAAGGTTCAAGCGATTCTCCTACCTCAGCCTCCCGAGTAGCTGGGATTACAGGCATGCACCACCACGCCCAGCTAATTTTTTAATATTTTTAGTAGAAATGGGGTTTCACCTTGTTGGCCAGGATGGTCTGGATCTCTTGACCTCGTGATGCACCCGCCTCAGCCTCCCAAAGTGCTGGGATTACAGGTGTGAGCCACCTCGCTCGGCCAGCTTCCCTTTTTTAAAAAAAGAAAAAATATATATTATTATTATTATTTTTGGTAATGGGTATAAGCAAGGAAAAAAATTTAAAAATAAAGATATTCAAATTTCTTTTAGTTACGTTGAGACAGGGTCTCGCTTTGTTGCCCAGGCTGGTCTAAACTTCTGGGCTTAAGCAATCTGCCCTCCCCAGCCTCCCAAAGTGCTGGGATTATAGACATGAGCCATGGTGCCCAGATGCAGTAAGCATCTCTTGACAGCTAGAGCTGAGACCACAACTTTTCCTCAGTTCATTTTTTTTTCCAGAAATTGCCTAAACCCAGAGATACTCTCTTGCCCACTATTTCTATGAAATATGAAAATGCTGATTATTAATTTACATAACAATACTCCCTCTACATTCACCTACCTGAAGCTTTATGTATATTCCCACACAGGTGTTTCTAGATGTGAACACCAGACCTGTTTAACCTGCTCTCCATCAGCACTTGAGGCCCACTAAGGCAAGCACAGACAGACATCTCACTAATGCTGTGGGGATAAATCATAAAAACCACAATCCTGCTCTTTGGAAAACATCTCCCTTCAATCTTCTTGCTCCCCTTCCACTCTTTCAGGGAGAGAAAGAAGGAGAAATTAAACTAATTAGGGGCTGGGCGTAGTGGCTCATGTCTGTAATCCGAGCACTTTGGGAGGCTGAGGAGGGCCGATTACTTGAGGTCAGGAGTTCTAGATCAGCCTGACCAATATGTCGAAACCCCGTCTGTACTAAAAATACAAAAATTCACCAGTGGCACATGTCTGTAGTTCCAGCTGCTCGGGAGGCTGAGGTGGGAGAATTGCTTGAACCTGGGAGGTGGAGGTTGCAGAGAGCTGAGATTGTGACACTGCACTACAGCCTGGGTGACAGAGCAAGACTCCATCTCAAAAACAAAATAAAATAAATTAAACTAGTTAGAAATCTTGTCTTTTCTCCACCCTCCTCCTGACCTGAGATTGCTTCCTTCTTGTAAACCTGCAGGAATTTGAGGTGAGGTTGAAGAACACTAAAGTTACTCAAATAAAATAAGCCTAGTCACTCAAATTGATTATCCTCTTGATTCATATATTTATGCTAGCCGCATATCATTTACATGTTGTTAATTTAGAATCAGAGTAGCCAAAATTGCCTGCAGGCCTTACACTTATTTTTCCTCTCTCTCTCTTCTTTCTTTCTCCCCTTAAGTGACACTTAGGATGAACCTCAAAGCAGATGCCAGAGCCTGGGAAAGTGAAAAAGCTTGAAGAAAAGCAGGCTGCATTTCTTATCTTTTCTGTCCAGTGCCAGAAATGATCAATAATGAAGCGGGGGGTTGGGCAGCTAGCTGGCTAGAGAGGTAAGCCAAAGGAACCCAGGAGCGGACACCCGAGGGAGTGGGGTCTCAGAGGAACTGGGCAGAGCTAAATGGGCTAAGTCTTAAGAGGCAGGAGCAGGAAATGTAATGGAGGGTTTCTTTTTCTTTTTTCTTTTTTTTTGAGATGGAGTCTTGCTCTCTCACCAGGCTAGAGTGCAGTGGCATGACCTCTGCTCACTCCAACCTCTCCCTCCCAGATTCAAGGGATTTTCCTGCCTCAGCCTCCCAAGTAGCTGGGACTACAGGCATGCACCACCACGCCCAGCCTGTAATGGAGGATTTCCACTCTACAAGGTCCACTGCTACTGGAGAGAGCAGAGTATTTCAGTGTAGGAAAGAATGAGGGAGGGGATACTCAGGCAAATCAAAGTCTCATTCTTTTCCTCGTCTTTCTCAGCTCCTCAAGTCCTACACTTTCTCTCCAGCTGGAATTATGGTAGTGGATGAGGGAGTTAAAATAGCCGTGGTTCCTCCCTAGTGAGCCGAAAGTTGGAAGAAGCATGTAAAACAGGCACATAGCTTCAAGAAGACACTCCTCCTCTCCCTAGGAACAAGTCCCTTTCTGTCCCACTCCAATCTCCTTCTCAGTCTGATGTATGTCTTCATGCAATCAGTTGTTTAGATTTTCTTTCTTTCTTTCTTTTTTTTTCCCTGAGACGGAGTTTTGCTCTTATTGCCCAGGCTGGAGTGCAATGACACAATCTCGGCTCACTGCAACCTCCACCTTTAGGGTTCAACTGATTCTCCTGCCTCAGCCTCCCAAGTAGCTGGGATTACAGGTGCCCACGACCACGCCCAGCTAATTTTTTGTATTTTTAGTAGAGATGGGGTTTCATCATGTTGGCCAGGCTGGTCTTGAACTCCTGACCTCAGATGATCCACCCGTCTCAGCCTCCCAAAATGCTGGGATTACAGGCATGAGCCACCATGCCCGGCAATAGTTTAGATTTTCATCTCAGGATATGTCAACCATCTCCACAGTGCCCTGTCTACTTGCTCACAAGGAGAGGGGGAGGGTTGCATGATTTCATTAAAAGGAGGAGGACCACGCAGCATCCCCTTTACATCTCTCTCCTGCCTTAGCTCCTCTAAGCAATCCAGACCTGTCGACCGAAGGTGGAAGGACAGCAGGTGTCAGCTCCCCAGAGCCGGAGAGGAAACGGAGAAGGGTGGGAGAAGAGGTGAAGAAGACGATTAAAATAAAGTTTTTACCTTAAAGAAGTGGGTGCTGTTCCAAGACTGAGAAGGAGAGGTCAGCTGTGGCAATGCGATGGGGGAGGTGGGTGCAATGAGGGGGGCTGCCAGTGCCGATTGCCTTCCAGCTGTCAACGCCTGAGCTTATACAGGTTTACACAGCTTTATGAGCGGCGGTCCTGGCTGGGTTGTGGCTACTTCCGGACTCACGCCCAGTACTGGGGGCACCGGAGGAGGGTGAAGGCAGGCAGGGGCGCAGCCCAGCTGCTCCAGGTCACTAAGAGCGTCTTCAGGATTCCTGAGTCGCCGGGTCTAGGGCACGCACTCCAGGCCCTGTCTACAAGCTGGTTTTCAAAGGAAGTTTGTGGTTTTTCTTTTCTTCTCTCTCTCTCTTTTTTTCTCATCGGGACGAAGAAAAATTAGTCAAGGACAAGCTCCCTGGAGGAGGAGGGGCCTGCCCAGCACTGGTGGATTTCCATCAGGGCTTTATGACCCGGTCAGCAGCTTGGTGATCAGCAGAGAGGGAGAGAGAAACAGGAGAGAAAAACAACAGACCCTTTCTCTTCCCTCCGCCAGCCTCTGGAAGGGACGGAGCGCTTGTGCCTCTCTGGTGAGAATAGGGAAGAGCAAGTGCCCTTGCTGAGTGGGGAGGAGCCGGGCTGGACAGAAGCAGCTTGTTGGATCTGAGGTTTCTCTCTGGGTATGGCAGTCCTTTGCTCCAGATCCACAGAAACAGGACAAAAGAGCACGATATTTGCATATATTACTCAATGTTAATGAGTTATGTTAAATTAAAGAAAAAACAACCCAGCTCTTTTCCCTCTGGAGCCCTCCAGAGGGCTCCTTTTCAAGTCCTTGCCGTATCTTTTTTTAAGTCTAGAAAAAACTGGTTGGGTTGTGCACCTGGTAGAGCGCAGAGGGTGTGGAAGAAGCCCCAGGCTATGGGAAGAGCGCACAGCAGGGAAAGAACTCGTAGAACAGGCAGGAGATCCAACACCCCTGTGCCCTGGATCTTGGTTCCACCGCAGGCCTCAGCTTTTCATCAGTCACCTCCCCTCAATTTACAGCTGGGGAAGCAGGAAAAGCTGGTGTGAGGTTGATGGTAGGAAATATAGGGACAGATAAATAAACGAGGGAATATTTGACCTTGAGCTTCCATTTATTTGCAGTACCTGCACTACCCTGCGGCTGGAAAGTGGCGGTTAAGGGAGGTTGGAACCTAACTCTGCATTCTGAAGGGTTCCCTAGACTCTATGGACAGGACTGCCACAGGATGAAACTTCAAGCCACTCTGAAGGCTGAAAGAGCAGTTGGAACAATTAGGGAGGCAGAGAGCAAAAAGCCAAGGTTACAACCGTCCAAGAAAGGAAGGAGAAGATATTTAACGAGGCAGTAGGAAAAAAAAAAAACAGGCTACAGAGTAGCAAAGGAAGAAGCAGCAAGAGTTGGCAGGACACTGCAGGTATTAAGCAAACAAGAGGGATCAAAGATTATTCTAATGTTCTGCAAACATGAACAACCACAAAACTGGTGGCGACTGAGTCAGTTCGGTTAAGGAGAGAATTTCCAGAAAGAAGATGAATATCTGTTTTGCCAAGTGTCACTTAAAATGTCAACCAGATGCTCGGTGAGATATATGGAAAGATGTTATACTTAGCCCGATCTGAGAGGGTAAGTTCAGACGCCACAACAATGGGTCGCTGTGACACATCCACATTTGTTTGTCAAACGACTGATCCCTCAGAAAACTCTCCTTCCCTCGCTTGCTAGGGCCATTGCGGAGCTGCGAGACAACCTTTCCCACGACGACCAGCGCCACGCCCCCTTGGCCTCTCCGGAAAGACGTCCCAGGAGCCTCTGGGCGTAGAGCCCCGCCTCCGCTGGGGGCGGGGCGACGCCGGGCTCGGGAGTGCCCGCTTACGCACTTCCTCCCGGGGTCGGAGGCCGATTCGCCGTGTGGCGGGTTCGAGTCCCGCCTCCTGACTCTGGTCTTTAGCCCCTGAGTCCCGGGCGGGGTGCATTCGCCGGGGAACCGCTCCTCGATCTGGGGCGACGGCGTACTTTGGGCTTCATCATGGAGGACTACCTGCAGGGTTGTCGAGCTGCTCTGCAGGTAACCGATCCCTGTCTGTGACTGTAAGGAATGGAGCACGGGGTCCAGGAAGGACGGAGACGTGGGATCTGGGGGAGCCTCGACGGTCCGTGTGGAGGGAACACTATGTTGTGGGGAGGGGGGTTGGGGCCCGATCAGATTTGGGGCATGAGGAGCGAGAAGCCAGCTTACGAGCGTGAGAATGCTGCTTGCTCAGTCTCCCGGTTTTTGGCGCCCCGCCTTGGGGGTCCGCCCGAGAGCGGGGAGAAGTCTTGGGTCTGAGTCCTGCATTTGAGCCTCTGCTTGCTGTCGTCTTGGTCAGTTCCGTCAAAAGGACCAGGACTGTGCCGCCGCCAGCCGAGCCCCGCGAGGTGTGTTTATTCTTTACTCCCCGCCCCTCTTTCAGTTCTCCGCTCCTAAGGCCTCGCTTGGCCCACTGGCCTCCAGGTGAACCTCGGGGGTGTGGAGGGAACCGATGCTCGTGGCTTTATTTCCTCTGAATGGCAGTTTCTGTCTGGCGGGCTGAACTCATTTCTAGGTTAGAAGTGGTCGTGGTATTTTACTTTAAGTCAGTGTTTTTAAGCCAAACATACAGAATCCATCAAGCATATTTCTTGACCCACAACCAGCATTCCTTTGCCTCCAGGTTTCTCCCTTGGCCTTAACACACAGAAATGACATAAAAATTCTCCACTTGGAAGGGATAAGCACAAAGAGTGTTTGCAATCAAAACCATAAATATGACTACTGACTGCTTTGTGGCTTATGCGTGGTGCTCTCTGAGCCAGTTGGACTCACCCAGCTGAGCCGTCATGAGGCATTAGGCTGTTATCCCAGTTAGCAGCAAAAAGCTAACCAGAGAGAGGCTCCAGGAGGTCACCTGGTCCCTCTACTTTGAGTTATTCTGCCCTGAAGAAACCCAGACAGATGGCTGGCTGAGCTTTCCTTTTTAGATATCTTAAACTCTACAAATTCTCCTGGGGGACAGATTCTGTTTGTTTGTTTGTTTGTTTGTTTGTTTGTTTGTTTGTTTGTTTGAGACAAGAGTCTCAATCTGTCACTCAGGCTGGAGTGCAATGGCACAATCTTGGCTCACTGCAACCTCTGCTTCCCGAGTTCAAGTGATTCTCCTGCCTCAGCCTCTTGAGTAGTTGGAATTACAGGCATGTGCCACCCCGCCCGGCTAATTTTTGTATTTTTAGTAGAGACGGAATTTCACCATGTTGTTCAGACTGGTCTCAAACTCCTGACCTCATGATCCGCCTTCCGTGACCTCCCAAAGTGCTGGGATTACGGGCGTGAGCCATCGTGCCTGGCCCAGATTCTGGTCCTTAACAAATCCTGAAAGTCAGTTAATTCCTGCTACAGACATATCTACTGGAATAAAATGAATTGTCTTCATGTTGAATTGGGGAGATGGTCCATTTTAACACCAATTACACATTTTCCTTGGGAAAACAAATTTGGGGAAATTATTTCAATGCATGAGGCCATTTGGAAGCAGTCCCTTTTAGTTACCTCTGATTCCACCACAGGGCACTTATTGGAGGACTAATGTAGAGTTTTGTGGCACTGTTCTAAGTGCTAAGCACTTAGATTCCCCCCCCCCCCCCCAGGTAACACAAATGACTGGTCTCTGTTCCACCATTTGGTAAAGAGCACTTGGACCTGAAACCTCACCAAATGCTATTTCTTTGCATGCATCTACTCTCCAGCACGTATCCTCCAGAGCCTCCCCCACCCCCAGGTTAATAGTATATTCTCTATTTTTATTCTGTATTTGTTTGTTTATTTATTTATTTTGAGCCAGGGTCTCACTCTGTTGCCCTGGCTGGAGTGCAGTAGTGTGATCACCCCCCAGGCTCAATTGATCCTCCCACCTCAGCCTCCCATTAAAGCTTCGACTATAGGCATGTGCCACCACGCAGGGCTAATTTTTTGTATTTTTGTAGAGACACGGCCTCGCCATGTTGCCCAGTCTGGTCTCGAACTCCTGGACTCAAGCAATCCCTCTGGTTTGGCTTCCCAGAGTGCTGGAATGATAGGTGTGAGCCACTGTGCCTGGCCCTAGTAGTATATTCTCTACAGCAATATGAAGCTGTAACAATACTTGATTTTTCCAATATTGCTGGCATCTTAACTTTTGTCTCCCTGCATTCTTCCCCCAAGGAGCAAGATCTAGATTTTCTTTTCAAACTTGTGAACTTGTAAAAGGTGAGATTGTGTCCGTAGAGCTTTCATCACCGCATAGCCCCCCCAGGGCCTGGAGAAATGAGAAAAGTAGACTCTAGGAAAGTTAGCAGATGAACTGATGGCAAGACATACTGGTAGATGCCAACAATTTAGATTGCTTTAAATTTTTTTTTTTTTTTTTTTGAGATGTAGTTTTGCTCTTGTTACCCAGGCTGGAGTGCAATGGTGCGATCTTGGCTCACCGCAATCTCTGCCTCCTGGGTTCAGGCAATTCTCCTGCCTCAGCCTCCTGAGTAGCTGGGATTACAAGTGTACACCACCATGCCTGGCTAACTTTTGTATTTTTAGTAGCGACAGGGTTTCACCATGTTGGCCTGGCTGGTCTGGAACTCCTGACCTCAAGTGATCCACCTGTCTTGGCCTCCCAAAGTGTTGGGGTTACAGGTGGAGCCACCATGCCCTGCCTAGATTGCTTTAAATTATAGAAGTAGTAAATGTGCACTTAATGAACAAATTTAAATACCAAAAGGATATGAAATGAAAAAGATAAAGATCCTCTTTCTTCTCACCTCTCCATCTGGTTCTCCAGAGGCCACCCTGTTAGGTTTCTTGTGTAAGAGAGATGATTTGGACAGATACACTCTTAAGTTTGAATGTTCCTCTTCAATTATAGTTTAATTATAACTTTCAGGAGATCAGGAATGCTCCTGTCTGCACAGGATAAAGACAGCTGGTAATCCAGCCAAGTCTCCCCTTACTACCCCATTTTTAGCATTTGACACCAGAGACATTTTCAGCAGCCTCTGCCACAGGGACAATAGGACATTCCATTAAAATTTTTTTTTA